TAAACTCTGGTTTCAACTGTATATTTATAACAACAATCTCTGGGCTTGCTACATAACAAATACCCAAATTTTAACAATTTATAAAAAAAGAATAACTTTCTGGCCATCGGAAATTAGGCATATATTTTGCGATGGTGATTTTGGAAAGTATTAAATCGCTTTGTAAACGCTTAGAATTACCATTTCAGGAATCTCCCCATACAGTTGAATAGACCGGAAACCACTTCGCGTGACGTCACACTTAACAAGCGGATAACATTATATATATATATATATATATATATATATATATATATATATATATATATATATATTTTTTTATTTATTTCTAAAAAAAATTCACCTTGCAATTCACTATATGATCTTTAGGATATTTGTAATGACAGTTAAAATATTTATTTAGTCATTGTTAGGCAAAACTTATGTTTAGGTCAACTTTACTATTTAGTTTATCTTGTTTAATTTGACAAAAATTATGTTCAATATATTAAAACACATATGTAAAATATACAGGCACATAAAATACCCCCCCCCCCCCCCCCCCCAAAAAAAAAACGCACAAGAAAGCAAAATGACTAAAACTGCAATATCAACCAGGATAAAAAAATTCAAATTATACAAATTATTAATTTATTTTTCTTCAGCTTGATCCCTTATTTATCAGTGGTGGTTGCCACAGTGGAATGAACCGCCAACTATTCCAGCATATGTTTTACGAAGCGGATGCCCTTCCAGCTGCAACCCAGCACTGGAAAACACCCATACACTCTCACATCCCCACACACACACTCATACACCATGGCCAATTTTTTTTGTTTACCCAATTCACTTACAGCATCTGTGGAAGAAAACCAGAGCACCAGGAAAAAACACACCAACAAACTCCACACAGAAATGCCAACTGACCCAGCTGGGAATCAAATCACTGACCTTCTTGCTGTGGGCCGTCAGTGCTAACCACTGAGTCACTGTACCGGCCTATATACTAATTAAAATAACTAAATACAATAATAAGACGATTATAGTATAAAAAAATTTCAAAATAACACTCTTCACGGCGAGGCAGTAGCGCAGTAGGTAGTGCTGTCGCCTCACAGCAAGAAGGTCGCTGGTTCGAATCTCGACTCAGTTGGTGTTTCTTTGAGGAGTTTGCATGTTCTCCCTGCCTTCGCGTGGGTTTCCTCCGGGTGCTTCGGTTTCCCCCACAGTCCAAAGACATGCAGTACAGGTGAATTGGGTAGGCTAAATTGTCCGTAGTTTGTGAGTGTGTGTGTGGATGTTTCCCAGAGATGGGTTGCGGCTGGAAGGGCATCCGCTGCGTAAAAACTTGCTGGATAAGTTGGCGGTTCATTCCGCTGTGGCGACCCCGGATTAATAAAGGGACTAAGCCGACAAGAAAATGAATGAATGAATGAATGAACACTCTTCACTTGGGATTTATTGATGAGCTGACCTGTTGCAAAGCAGCGGGTGTGATCATGTGACCCAGCTGTTTGAGAGTGCTGGGTTTCAGACCTGCCATGTGTTGTTCGCTGACCTTCACTGAAAAACCAAACAAACACAACACATTACAAGAGAGTCAGCGATGAAGCAAACATAAACCTCTGCGTCATCATTCCTCTCTCTCACCGGCTCTCATGATACCAGCGTCTGTTTTGACTTTATCAGGAGGAATGGTGATCCACTGCATCACCGCAGGCTGACTGGCTGAATCTGTAGAGAAACAGACACAAGTCAGCATCTCGCATGCTCTTCATTCAGTTTCTCAAGCCAGTTTGTATTTGCTAAAGGAGTTTAGCTCACTGTTCTGTGATGGCGCTGGAAGAATAGCTCGTATGCGTCGTTTCTGCACAGCACTGCAGGCTTTTTCTCTAGCGATAATCTGAATCTGACCACCACCCAATGCTCTGAAATGACACAAAAACACACATTAAAGACTAATAGAGACATTTATGCCTTGATCAAACCCATTTTTGTGTTGAGAGGTGCCTTTTTTTAATGGTTTTCAAATGGCTGTGAGCATTTTCAGGGCTGCTTATGCGTCCTGTGCGCCTCACATTTTAGGGAGCATTAACATACTAACGCCCCATTCACACGGGGCTTCAGCGTCAATGCTTGACTGAAGGCGAGTCTGAAGTAGGGGCTGACGCTGTCGTCATAGCAGCATCAGCCAATGAAATTCAGTCAGCAATAGGCCACAGTCTAGCTGGTGTATTTGCATACAGTGATCTGATTGGCTGACGCTTCCATTGGCGCTTGAGAAGTTGTGCTAGTCCCAACTTCTACAACGAACAACGCCTCTGAAGCGGCGTCGACGGGTCCACAATGCAGTTCGGCAACGAACCCATTCAAAGTGAATGGCAAGCGTTGATGCTGAAGCCCCGTGTGAATGGAGCGTAAGTCTAAAAGCATATGGAAAGCAAGAGGTGCTTCACTTCCTTTACCATTTTCAATGAGCTTGAAGCAACATTCCACTTTGGCGTCTGTCGCAGCCTGTCAACAATCAGCCTTTTTCCTTATAGGATGACAAACCATTGCTGCAGCTCTGATACAAGTTTTATTTATGAGGAAAATTAAAAGCGTTGCAGTGTTTGGATGCACTGCCTTTGTCTAAGCCAATTAATCTACCGTCATTACTGAAATGTGTATGGACCGTTTCAATGTGGTCATGTCATTGGCCCATGAACATTTCCTGCTTGTTATCAAACTACTTCGTAACTATAACAAGAGGCAATTCAATCATAACTTACTGTTAAAACAGCTTTCATAACATTATTTATCAATATGTGGCCCTTTTTGGATTCTCGGAAGCTGGAGAAATTAAAAATGTAAAACAGGAAACACGTTGGGGCCATTGTTTTTGTTTACATCCCTCTAAATGGTCTATATTCCATACTGCTGATATATCTAATACTGCTGAAGCTGATTGGTTAGTTGCAGTCACATGACTCGTAGTGTGTTGAAAGTTCAGTTTTCAACTAGGTGCACTTGGAAAATGCTTGAGCTTCGCTTAATACTTGCGCATGCAAGCCATGCACCTCTATTGTAAATAACAAACTTGTGTGCACAAAAGGCATGATGTGTGAACGGCTTCTTAAGCGACTATGTTAACGTGTATTTTAAAAGTTAAAGAAATGCCAAACTTTTTATAAAAATCTCTTAATTGGCAACATTTTACGCACTCTTGAGGTGGTTTTAGAATTGTCTGAAAAAGGCTTAATGTGAATAACTCGAATGTAATGGGACGTATTGAATATTACACTAATGTGCCTACATTATGCTTGCCTTGTTTACTGTTGGTTGCTAGGTTACCAATACTACTGTTAGCTTCTCTAACAACTTGAATGTTTTTTTTTGCAAAATGAATCTGCCTATTAAGTGTTTCACTTCTTCAAGTACATTGTGCACTACACTGTATGCTGCAAACTATTTTTGTCATTGTAAGTTCTAAAAAATAATATAAAAATTGTAAAGAAATTACAAATAAATAATAATAGCTAAATAATAATACAACTTTGAATAAAATGGGTAACGTACAGTTTAATATAGTAATATGCTAACATTTTTTAATATAAACTGTTATAATAATTACTTCTTTACTACATTTGTATTAAGAAAACTAAGATAAAGATGATTAAAAACTGTTTGCAAAAATTTAAATAAAGTAAATATGTAAATAGTAAAAATATGCATAGATGAAATTTTTTTAAAAATTGGAAAAAAGTGAGTGAAATGATTAAAAACAGACATGAATTAAAGTTAAAGTGACAATCACTTAAAAAAAAGCTTACAAATAATTTGTAAAAAAAAAAAAACTAAATAATAAAATAATGAAAATTCCTTATACTTGGAGCAAGATCAAAACTGAAAACAGCCAAAAAGAACAACATAAAACATCTAAGAATCTAAGAACAGAATATAAAAACGTAAAACCTTAATATACACTATAACAATAATATTAAACCAGCACTGCTGCAATGGAAGCTCAAGCTTTGTGCATAATTTTTTTTTATTGTTGTTTTCATTCATTATGTTGAGAACTGAAACAAAATTAACAAAATTAACATAAAATTAAACAAATCATGCAAAATAATTAGTATATTATTTTGCATGATTTGTTTAATTTTATGTTAATTTTGTTAATAATTAATATTGTGATATTGTAATATTGTGTTTCTTACAGGACAGCTGTTGTTTCATCAGGTTTGCAGACTGCGGCTCCATCAGATGTTTGTTGGGTCGACCCTGCCTTGATTCGCTCTCTCTTTTTCCGAGTAACTCTTCTAGCAGCAGCAGCAGATCGGCCATCCTGAGCTTTATCTAAAGAGCTGACTCTGGATGCAGATGCCTGCTCTTCTGTCTGCTCTGTGTCTTTAAGATCTGCTGGATCATCTGAGCGCTGGGCAGTAGGATTGGAGTCCTCACACTCTTTTCCAGAAGACGCCTCAGAGGATTTACTGGAGCTTCTCTTGCCCTGTAACAAAGCGAATTGCAGATTGGATTGATTTAAAACGTCAGCAGAGAAGCCACATATATTAAAGCCACATTTCTGTTCTGAAGGAAAAGCAGATTTCTTTAAAGTCCAAAGATCCATTAGTGACCATCTCCCCCACATTAGCATAGAATGTTAATCTTGTTTTTGAATCTGCCCCAACGCTGACACACAGGCATTTGCAGCTCCGCCCTCTTTTGAAAAGAGCACAAACTCATTTGAATTTAAAGGGAAAGTCACCAAAATGCCACGATTACGCTCAAAACCTAAAAGGGTCAGTTTCAAAGAGTTATAAAACAATATTTGAGGGGTATTTTGAGCTGAAACACACACACACTAGAATCATAAGAGGCATATTTTACATCTTGTAAAATTAGGTATAATAGATCCCCCTTAAATGTTGCTAATATGATTATTAATTTGTCAAATGATACAACTTATAATAAGGTTGTTTATAAGACACTGTGCATGCATTTCTCCCTTCATAAAAAGTCTGGTCCCACTTAATATTAGGTGGTCTTAACTACCATGCACCAATAATACACACAATATGTGTTCATAATGTATTGCAGGTAGGTTTTGGGACAGGTTTGGGGGTGCGTAATAGATGTAATAGATGATCAACAGTGTAATTACAGATGTAAGGTATTTAATCAATCATAAGTACAATGTAAACCCATGTGTTTACACAGTGAGAACATTGTTACAAATAATTAACTACGGTGCGAGTACATATTAGTCCAGGCCACCTAATATAAAGTGGGAGCGAAAGTCTAGTAAACTTTTCCACCACACAGCACACACTTCTTTCAATCATGCAAGTCAGGGCTGCTCAACCCTGTTCCTGGAGATCTTCCTTCCTGCAAAGTTGAGCTCCAACCCTGATCAAACACACCTGAACCAATTAAATAAGACCTGAACAGCACTTGATAATTACAGGCAGGTGTGTTTGATAAGGTAGATGTAAGGTAGATCTCCAGGAACAGGGTTGAGCAGTCCTGATCTGAGTGCTAAAACATGAGTAACGTTGACTCACATGCGGGACCCACTTCCCACCGAGGTGTTGCCCGCAGTCTGGACAAAATGGCGGTTTGTGACGGGTGACGTATGAAAACATACAGCCGGGTGTGATGCAGTTGCCACGTCCTCTCCGTGTGTATTTGATGGGCTGAAAACACAACAGATGTCAGAGATACTGTTCATGCATAAATGCAGAATACATTGAAGACTGGAAAAGATTTAGAGCACCAATAGGATTTCTAGACTGCGATGCAACTTAACAATGTTACTCAAACTCAAAGCAAAAGCAAGATAGGATATCATGGGGAGCAGAATTGAATGTGAACCATTGTGCTCACACCAGAATCAAGCAATACATTCATGAAATAAACCTATTTTGATGTTTTTTCGATCTCTTGCGTCTGAAATAAACTGATATCCATATAAATAGATACAGCTGGCAGCTAGCTCTTTGCAACTGTCACCCACTGAAGCTAAGCAGGGCTGCGCCTGGTCAGTACCTGGATGAGAGACCACATGAGAAAGCTAGGTTGCTGCTGGAAGTGGTGTTAGTGAGGCCAGCAGGGGCGCCAAACCTGCGGTCTATCTGGGTCCTAATGCCCCAGTATAGTGAGGGGGACTCTATACTGCTCAGTGAGCGACTTCTTTCGATGTTAAACCAAGGTCCTGACTCTCTGTGGTCGTTAAAAATCCAGGGATGTCCTTTGAAAAAGAGTAAGGGTTTCAACCTGGCATCCTGGCCAAATTAGCCCACTAGCCTCAGTCCATCATGGCCTCCTAACCATCCCCATATCATAATTGGCTTCATCACTCTGCCTCCTCTCCACCAATCAGCTGGTGTGCAGTCTGGTGCAAAATGGCTGCCGTCGCGTCATCCAGGTGGATGCTGCACACTGGTGGTGGATGAGGAGATTCACCTCCATTGTGTAAAGCGCTTTGAGTGCCCAGAAAAGCGCTATATAAATGTAAGGAATTATTAATACTATAAAAACAGAAAAATCCCACTGACCAGTTTAAAGGAGGGTTTGGGTTCGGTCTTCACAGTGCTCATCAATGGAAACATCATGATTGGGCTGGCCGTGTTAATCACTTTATTCTCCACAAGGCCCTGAAAAACACCATACAGAACAGAAATATTGTCCAAACATTCAATGTGACTTCTGTAATCGGAGGGTCAGAGAGCTCCCGCTTTACATCTAAGTTATCATCATTTTTTGTGTCTAAAGATGAATGAAGGTCTCAGGGAATTGGAACGACATGAAAATTGTAATAGTTTATGCTACCGAAATATGTTCTTTGTGTATACTCAAACTGAAAATGTTTAGGAATAATAAAGTATATATTTTTTTTAAAAGTGTAAAAGCTGTTTTAAATGTTTAGGACACTCTGGGATACTTTTTTTGAGATTTTAACAGATGTTGTGTGTGTTGAGCATCAGTTAAGCTGACATTGGCACCTGTCCGCTGTAATTGTGGGGAATACTTTGAGGTTTTGTGTGCTAATTTCATCTTCCGGGTTTAAAATAATTTTTGGGAAGGGATCAAAATTGGTGACGTAGCGCGAATCTGCTAGTAAAGTGATGACGCATCAGTTTCTCATTATTATTAATAGTGGAGTTTTCTTATCCTATGAGAAGACCCTGCTTCTTATTTATTCAGGACTGCCTGTGCTTTCCAAGTTGTCAGACTCAATGACTGGGTGAAACCGCGCACGGCAGGAGAGCTGTATGAGAATTGGAGAATGGTGGACTTTGTTTTGTTATTACTTGTTATTAGTCGAGTTTGTTACCATTCAGACACATCACCTAAATCCATGCTGCTGTGTTCGTCTATGTTTAAAACCAGATTACTGGCAGGATAATGGTTGGACAGGGCAAGAGACCAGCTGCACTGCTCCAGTGTGTCTGCATTCAGACCCCGGGCTTCAGGAGGAGAGGGGGATTTCATGGCCCTTTAAAGGGATAGTTCAGCCAAAAATGAAAATTTAATCACCTTTAGGTAGACCCAAATCCTTTACCACTTTCTTTTGTCTTTTAAATACAACTGAAAATGTTTTGAAGAAAGCTGGACACCCGTAACCATTGACTTTCATAGTAGGAAAAAACACATACAATGGATGTCAGAAGTTACAGGTTTTCACCCTTTTTCAAAATATCTTCTCTTGTATTCAACAGAAGAAAGAAACTCTTGAAGGTTTGAATGGGTGAGTAAATGATGACAGAATTTTTAGTTTTGGCTGAACTATCCCTTTAAAAAATATACTATGGTAGTCAATGGTTACCGGTTTTCAGCTTTCTTCAAAACATCTTCTTTTGTGTTCAACACATGTAAGAAACTCAAACTGGTTTGGAACAATTTGGAACAAAAACAAATACTATGGAAGTCAATGGTTACCATTTTTCAGCCTTCTTCAAAATATTTTCTTTTGTGTTCAGCAGAAGACAGAAACTCATGAAGGTTTGAAACGGTGAGTAAATGATGACAGAATTTTCAGTTTTGGCTGAACCATCCCTTTATAAGCAATACTATGGATGCCAATGGTTACCGGTTTTCAGCTTTCTTCAAAATATCTTCATTTGTGTTCCACAGAAAGAAGAAACTCAAACAGGTTTGGAACAATTTGGAATAAACCATATACAATGGATGTCAGTGGTTACCGGTTTTCATCATTCTTCAAAATATCTTCTCTTGTGTTTAACAAAAGAAACAAACTCAAACAGCTTTGGAGCAAGGAAAGACAATTAATGATGACAACATTTAAATTTTTGGGTGAACTATCCCTTCAAAGTCAATACTGGAATACTATGGATGTCAATGGTTACCGGTTTACAGATTTCTTCAAAACATCTTCTTTTGTGTTTAACAGAAGAAAGAAACTCAAACAGCTTTGAAACAAGTAAAGGGCGATTAAATGATAACAGAATTTTCAATTCTGGCTGAACTATCCCTTTAACCCTGTACTAGCAGGGTGTAAGGTGCCGTAATCGTAAATAATCAAACAGCTCACCTGATTGGGTATTATAGCAACCAGATGAGTGGCTTCTGCTTTGAGCTGAGGCATTAAAGCTCCAGCATCTTCTCCGTTCTCCACAGTCACCGCAACGTCACCATAACACACTCCAGTCTCCTTCTTCTTCACAGTTTTGTCGAGACTCGTCACTCTTTCACAGATGCTGGTGTTCTGGGCTGCGTCTGCACTGAGGGCCTGGATGGCGATGCACTGCTCCGTCAGCTCCACCTCACTGCCCAGAGTCATGGGGGACACCAGAGTATCCTGCGCAGGGGTTCCAGGAGCTCCGTCCACCAGCACATCCACATCCCCACCCTCAGTCTGATCTCCTCCTGCTGTGGGACTCTTGGGCAGGAGCACATAATTGGCCCTCGGAAGGATCTTGCGGAATCCTGGGACGTCCTGAGAGGAAGTGGCTGCTGATTGGCTGCTCTGGGACAAAAAAGGAGATGTAAAATTAGACAGTCGATGATATTAAAAATTACACAAGTAGACCTTTCTTGTTTGTTTGTAAAAGTAAATTTAATTTCCTACTTATTTTAAGAGTAAAAAATGACTTAGAAATCTTTTATTATGAATTTAATTAATTTAGAGGGATTTAAAAAAAATACTAATATTTAATAAAAATAAGATTTTTTTCTTTTTTTTTTTAAAAAACAACATGTCATCATTTATTTATGATTTAATTCACTTTAAGCAGCAATTAGCTTTATTAATGGCAAAATCTTTTAATTATACTATTAAATCACTTCTTTTCTCAATCACTACTCTTCAAAATAATGTTACAATTGGTAAAAATAAACAACTTACAAAACTATCGATGTATGCATAATATCAATTAAATATTTTAGCTTAATGCAAAATAAAAAATATTGCAGGACATACCTTTAAAAAAAAATAATAATAATAATATTAAACATAATATTAAATTAAAGATTTAAATATTATTAGCATTTTTATAATTATTATTACATAATACATTTTATTATTTTTGCATATGTTTTATTTTATTAAATAATGTTACACAATGTTAAATAAAATACTGCATATTACATATATATTATTATAATTCAAAATATATAGTATTAGAGATATAAAGTAATTAAAAGAAGTCAATTTTTTGCAGTACAACAAATATGCAGGGCAAAAATGGAGCTTTTCTCCTTCAAACACTATTATAAAAATCATTATTATTATTATTATTATTAAAATTTTTAAATAGTAGCATTATTATTAAAGTACTTTTATAATATTATTACTAACAATTACTTTTTAGTTTTTATAATATTTTACTATAAAATAAAAATGAGTATTTATAAAAAAAAGTAAAAAAAATAATTAAGTGCTGTCAAAATGAATTGCGATCAACGGATCCAAAATAAATAAATATAAATCAATAAATAATAAATATAAACTAAACATTTTATCTAATACAAATTATATATATATATTTATATATATTTTATTTTATATAAAGTTTATTTATTTATATATATATATATATATATATATATATATATATATATATATATATATATATATATATATATATATACATATATATATATATATATATATATACATATATATATATATATATATATATATAATTTGTATTAGATAAAATGTTTAGTTTATTTATATATATATATATATATATATATATATATATATATATATATATATATATATATATATACACACAGTGAGTACACACACATTATGTAAATACAAACTTTTATTTTGGATGCAAATAATTGCATTTGACAGCACTATAATATATATATATATATATATATATATATATATATATATATATATATATATATATATATATATATATATATATATATATATATATATATATATTACAGTAAAAAAAATAAAAATTATCCCTGAATTCTTACATTCTTACAAATAAACAACATACAAAAATATACATTCATGCATAAAATGTAAAAATTATTTACAATTATTCTCAAAGACTTACGGGGTCGACTCCATCTCTCTCCATGCGCGCTCTCTCCAGATAATATCCCCGGTCGGCCACGTTCAACCTCTTCCAGCTGTCACTAATGCATTTGTTGATCTCAGACTGAGGCAGATCCGGATGCTCCTGCTGGATCCTCTGATGCACGTCGAAGTAATAGAGCAGGTATGCAGATCTACGACAGAAAGCCAACAGTTCTGCAGCTCAAGCATACAGGGTCAAGTACAAATGAAATCAAAACGAACCATATGATTTGGTTAGCTCACATTGCTAGTGTTGTGGTGTAACAATTCATCTGCGCATGTCATTAATAAAAAAAATCTGCTCTTGAAATCTTTAATTAAAATCTCAAAATGCACTTCCTGTTTACATTTTTTAGATTACGTCAAAGACTCTAGAATATACAAGACATGTCACTCGTATAGGTTTGAATGCGGAAAAGTGTAACTGTCAATCCGACGAATGAATCCCCGCCTTCTAGTACAGTAGCCAATCATCGATCAATATATGGCGAATAAAGTCCGCCTTCTAGTACAGTAGCCAATCATTGATCCCTATAGACTGATGATACTCCGAGGGAGGGGCTCGAACCAGACATGAGCAGATTTTTTGCGATTTGAATGTTTAGAAATTAAACTAAAGGTACAGGTGTTGCTTAATTTTATTAGTGATTCCAAATATGTAATGTAATCGCAAGCTTGACAAGTAGTTTTGGAGAATTCGATGTTTCCCAATTCAGACCTGAGAGGTGTTTAAAAAATGGCCGTAGAGTGATATGACTTGCCTTTAAGGGACTTTGATTACGTCTGTCTGAGCTGTTGTGCTCAAGTAGGTATCGCTGCAGCCCAGAGACCTGCAAGTGGGAGGGATTACACCGCAAGTAGGTTGGGTGATCTCCAAGTGGGAGGGACTTAAACCACAGGTAGGTTGGGTTTATCAGGTTATGGAGGTTGGGTTTAGGTGTAGACGTACATAAAACCCAACAGGTTACTGTGAGGTTGGGTTTAGGGTTAGGTGTACACATTCAAAAAGCACAATATTGAACTCTAAATACGACTAAATAAGGTTTGCACAGCCCACTTGGAGCTCCAAGGCCCACCCACTTGGAGCTGGCTCCGACCTCCGTTTACACCCTTCTCGTTGGGCTTGGCTAACAAACTTAACCACGCCCGTCCAGCTGTCATTTTTGACAACAAACAGAAATGGTGAGGAGGAGGAGGAGTCTGTTAGGCTGTAATAACTCGCCCAAAACCTTGTCCGGATCTTTCTGAATGAAATGCTGCTTTACTACATCAGTATAATCAGCTCGCAGTGGAAAAAGCAAGCCACGCCCGCTGTTTTCTCATTTATTAAAAAACGGTTCCAGCTTTCGGTTCATGTGGACTTTTTCAGAGCTCAGCTTTCTGGATCAACATCTACCTGGGTTTCTTGGGTTTGTCCGAGTTCTCCACGCTGCCTTTGCTCTTGCGTTTCTTCTTGGGTGAAGGAAGCTCCAGAAGCGTGTAGCAGCTCTCCACCTCCATCTCCCCATAGATAGCCTCCATCTCTGACAGAAAAACATACACAGATACACACATACAGTCAAAATTATTAGCCCTCTTGTGATTTTTTTGGTTCCTTTTCATTTCCCTAATGATGTTTAACAGAGCAAGGAATTTTTCACAGTATTTCCTATATAACTTTTTCTTTTGGGGAAAGTCTTATTTATTTTATTTTGGCTAGAATGAAAGCAATTTTTTTTTACATTTTAAGGTTAATATTATTATCCCCTTAAGCAATATTTGTTTTCAATATTCTACAGAGCCACTGTTATACAATCACTTACATAATAATTACCCTAACTTACCCTATTAACCTAGTTAAGCCTTTAAACGTCACTTTAAACTGAATACTAGCATCCTGAAAAATATCTAGTCAAATATTATGCACTGTCATAATGCATGTGAACCCACAGCTAAACTGGTTCGCAGATTTCAGAGTGTGTGTGCAGGCATATTCCCTCCCATGTGTATATGTGTGGTATTGCTTATTGTTGATGCATTGACTTCCATATGTATATTACCATTCCCATAGTAAAACTGTGGTTGGTGTTGTAAAACCATAGTTAATTTAGGTTTACCATGGTCAACTGTGATAACCCCAAATTAACATAGTTTTGCAACACCAACTAGTTTTACCAGGGTATTTATAGTAAACTGTGGTTATAAAATAGAAGTCTCTCAGCCAAAGCCCAAAAAAAGAAATGATTACTTCAAATTTGCAATAAAAACATGGTTAATTTTTGTAAGGGTACTTGATTCAAATGAAGTTATATGGTTTTACTACAGAACGTGGTATTATCATGACATCGGTTTGTTACTATTAATAGTAATAATATGTTACAACTGACACAAATGCATGTAAACAGAAACATTGAATGCATCATGTGACACTCCCTTAATAGCAAACATACACAACAGAGACATATATGTGATTTTAACAGCAGTTTATCCATATGAACCCACATCAAACTGGCTAGCAGCAGATTTCAGAGTGTGTTTTATTTCCTCCCGTGCGTGTGTTATATTGCTTATTGTTGACCCTTTTTTGAGACATTGACTTCCATTTTATGCTAGTAATACCATGGTAAAACTGTGTTTGACACAATTGCAGGTAAGTGTGGTAGAGCCTTGGTTTGGTGTTGCAAAACCATAGTAAATTTGTGTTTACCATGGTCAACTATTGTAACACCATATTAACAATGGTTTTGCAACACCATCCATACCATACCATACCATTACCATGGTATTTGTAGTAAAACTGTGGTTGCAAAATGGATTTTAATGTGCCAAAAAAAAGTCACTTCAAATTTACTATGAGAAAACCATGGTTAATCGTTGTAAGGCTACATATCTTGATTCCAATATACGTCTGAAAATAATATGGCTTTACTTTGGAACGTGGTACTATCATGACATTAGTTGATAATATTAATATTACAACTGATAAAGTATAAAGTTACAACTGACACAAAGCCAGGTAATCATTGTAAAACAGTGGTTGGTGTTGCAAAACCACAATTAATTTGTGTTTACCGTGGTCAACTATAGTAACACCAAATTAACAATGGGTTTGCAACAACAAACACAGTTTTACCAGGGTATTTGTAGTAAAACTGTGATTATAAAATGGAAGTCTCTCAGTCAATGACCCAAAAAGAAATGATTACTTCAAATTTTTGAGGTAAAGTTGGTTTTATATTCGCACATTCAGACTTTCTCCTTAATTATTTTAGAAAAGTATTATTTTCAAACTCTAAATTGTGAAATCATATTAGCAACCAATGAATGGTACACTATTCACAGTCAATTAAATAGGGCTAATGTTTTTTAAGTCATATTTACATGTGATTTTAGACCCTGTATTGAAATTAGCGTAGTTGACAATATAGGAATTAAACGTTAAATGTGCGAATATAAAACCAGCTTTACGTCAATACTTTTTTTCCAATTGAACTTGATTTTAATGATCCTATGTGGTTTTACTACGGAACGTAATATTATCATGACATTAGTTGATAATATTAATATTCCAACTGATAAAGTATAAAGTTACAACTGACACAAAGCCAGGTAATCATGGTAAAACTTTGGTTGGTGTTGCAAAACCACAGTTAATTTGTGTTTACCGTGGTCAACTATGGTAACCCCAAACAATGGTTTTGCAACAACAACCACAGTTTTACCAGGGTATTTGTAGTAAAACTGTAATTATAAAATGGAAGTCTCTCAGTCAATGACGCAAAATAAATGATTACTTCATATTTTAAAGTTTGATTTTTTTGTTTTGCTTGAGGTAGAGTTGGTTTTATATTCGCACATTCAGACTTTCTCCTTAATAATTTTAGAAAAGCATTATTTGCAAACTCTAAATTGTGAAATCATATTAGCAACCAATGAATACTACTGTATTCACAGTCAATTAAATAGGGCTAATGTTGTTTTAAGTCATATTTTACATGTGATTTTAGACCCTATATTCATATTAGCGTAGTAGACAATATAGGGAACGTTAAATAAAGGAATGTGCACATATAAAACCAGCTTTACGGCAATACTTTTTTGTAAGTGTACTTGATTCTAATGAACTTATGTGGTTTTACTACGGAACGTGGGATTATCCTGACATTGGTTACCCAATTTTAATATTATTCGGTTACAACTGACACAAGTGCATGTAAACAGAAGCCCTGAACGCATCACGTGACACTCCAACAAACATACACAAATAGAATAGAGACCAACATGTGTGATTTCAATAGCAGTTTTTCCACATGAACCCACAGCTAAACTGTTTAGCAGATCTCTGGGTGTGTGTGCAAGCATGTCAGAGTGTTTATTCCCTCCCGTGTGTGTGTGTGTGATGTCGCTTATTGTTGAGTGCGGATACTGACTGTCTGCGGCCAATGAGCGCGTGTCTTATTGAAGACTTACCCGAAGGAGCGCAGGATCGGTCCAAGTCTAGTCGAATTTGTCAGCACACCGGCGGGTAAGCCGCGGGATCCACCACCCGGGTCATGTGTGTGCGAGGAGTGAGAGTTGAGCCGGTGTTTTAGCGTGTGTTTCCCGCAGAATAGTGCGGTAAAATGGCGGAGGAGAGATCAGATGAACGACTGGAGGCCCAATGAGAGTTTGATCCACGAATGAGTACGAGCTTTAATTCGCCCCTGTTTTTATTTTAACCGCTATTTTTGCACATTTTCCTCCAATATGATTGTGTTCTTCTGTTAAACGTATGCAAAAAACTAATATAAACAGTTAGACTCTTGTTTCCCGGGAGATATAACGTTAAAGTTGTTGTGTTCCTTCAGTGCCCGCTTGGAGGCTCAGAGAGCTAAATCGTGGAGTCCATTCAAAACATATCCTTGTCGCATTGCAGACAGTTATATCTGATAATAAAAAATAATAATACTTAAACTTATTTATTATTGGAACGATTTCATTATACGCAAATAGAAATCAAGATATGTTTCTAATAAAACTATAACAAAAACTGCGAGTTGCTGTGACAACGAGCTACAGTGATTGGTAAATAAGCAACAGCGATGAGAAAAGTAACTGCTGTCTCATGACCGGGTCTCACAACATTTATCTGAACAGTTGTGAATAATGATAATCAAATCTACGGTAATAAAAGTTAAAGTTACATTAAATAGGCTTAAGGGATTTTATATTTATTAGAATTTAATAATACAATGACAGAACTTTCGAATTTCTATACTTTGCTTGTTGTTGGAAGCTCTACTCGCTATTTGAACATACTTTTATACGCTTTTTACAAATTATAATAACATCAAATAACTATTTAGAAGCATTTAAAAAGCAAATATGTTATTTTAAGGCTTGAAAAGTTGAAGTTCGAGCAGATCGTCGTTCAGACCACATGAGTCGAGTGCAGACCGAGTCGTTTGTCATTTCTGCAGTATGGCGGAGGACAAGGTAAGAGAGGGTCTGTTTAATACTGAATTAAAGTACAAATAAGACGGATATATGGATTTCGCGTATGTATAATCATTTATATATCAGTGTGTTCCGCTGTTTGTTAATTAGAGCTGTCGTGAAGCTTTATTTGAATTGTGTAAAGTCACTGCTGTGTCTGTGAACTCTTGGCATTTGACAGCTGTAACAGAAAGCGAAACGTCGATCATAACATAGCGATAATAAGACTTAAAGTGTTGAGAAATGTGCACGAATAATCGAAAATAAAATAAGCGGGAAGTGGCTAAATAGTGCCGTAATAGAAATTATTTAATATAATATAATAAAGCAAATATAAACTAACGTTACCTAAGACAAGACAATAACAATCAGTATTGTGATGTAAATTGAATATTGCCATTATTGTATTATTATTAATTCTTATATTACAATAAAATGCTTTATATATAGTTACAAACAATTAATATTTTTACTATTATTATTATTTCATATACACATTACTAAAATCTTATATGCGAATGAAATTAATTATTGGGCGATTCTTCAACTACGGGCACTTATAGCCTTTAAAGTTGAGTAAAAAAAACATGTTTCAAATTAACGTAATACAGCCTCATAAGTTTAAACAAATTGTCTAGTTTTAAGATTTGTAAGAGGACAAACTTGGATAAGAAGAGAAACATTTTTTTTCCCATTGTGAACTGAACAAATGTCAACTCCACCACATCCCAATATACAGCTTATTTCAAAATGAAGAGATCATTTTTGTATCTAGTTTAACCAATCTTTCCACAATATATATAATAATGATAGATTTGTCAATGAAATAAATCAGTTGTATGCTGAATTGTACTCCTGTCACACAAAAATTTAATATTCATTTGGTTATGAGCTTATTAGACAATAAATAAACTGAATTTGTATATTAAATAGAGCATGAACTCATACATTGTGAATACACTTTATATCTGTGATGGGAACTTTCTAAATATATTTTTTTAAATGTGTGTGGTGATGGAAATGACAGTGCTGGAAATGACATTTTAACAGATTATTGTGAAAAAATTAAAAATAGCTTCAGCGGTTAGCTTTGGGTTGATATTAGCCTTTCATAACTACAAAACACTTTTTATTTACCTTCATTTTGTTTGGTTTAAAAAAAAACATCTTAAAAGGTACAACATGTTTGGAAATGACGTAGAATAAATGTATTTCCTTATCAAGCAATATTTACCTCTCAGATGGCACTATTCATTTTCATAGAAACCTCCAAAATAATCTCACACAAACTTTTTAAAGCAACATTACAGTGCTGTGGTGGAAATAACACTGATACTGTGCAACAGCTACATTTTGTATAAAAATAATAATATTAATAATAGTCTCATATTAATAACTATAAAATATTTAACTTATTTCACTAGTGCTTAATTAGGATATATTAATAGATACCAGATAAATAATATTTTAAAATGTTGTTTTCATTGTTGAAGTTTAAAACTCTGGGTGTGCGACTAGGTGAAATCAGGGATTTTGACATCTAAAAGGAGGTTGAATAATATGAAAATATGTAATAGAAAGCTAGTCAGTTTTTTCAAAGTAGGTTTATTGTTAGCTTAACAAAGAAAGAGGAATTTGAAAAAAATTATATTTTTGGATATATGATCAAAAGACATAAAAGTGCCCGTAGTTGAAGAATTAACCTATTATTATCATCATTTTTAGTATTATCACTATTATAATAATTATTATTCAGATTGTTTTAGGGAAATTATGCTACTAATTATACTGTTATATTTGCTGTTGTTATTTTAAATAAATGTTTGTTTTATGTATGTTAAATATTTTTGTTACAGTGAAATATTTCAAAGATAAGACATTTTTTAATGAATATTAATAATTTTAGTATGTTATTATCAATGTCATTTTGGCAAATGTGGATATTTTTAGCTCTAATTTAAGTTGTGGTTTATCCAAAGATGTCATAATTTGTGGTATTATCACTATTACATCAATTATTATTCAGATTGTTTTAGGGAAATGATGTTATTTACTTTCCCTCAGATCATGCAGCACTACTACTATTTGCTGTGACTTTGAATAATCAAGCATTAATGAATAAACAAAACAGCAGTATGACAATGATTTTGGAGCTCGCTTTCTACTACTCTCACATGGTCACCCACTAAGCAGGGCAGTGCCTGGTCAGTACCTGGATTGGAGACCACATGAGAAAGCTAGGTTGCTGCCGGAAGTGGTGTTAGTGAGGCCAGCAGGGGCGCTCGACGTACGGTCTGTGTGGGTCCTAATGCCCCAGTATATTGATGGGGACTCTATACTGCTCAGTGAGCGCCGTCTTTCAGATGAGACGTAAAACTGAGGTCCTGACTCTCTGTGGTTGTTAAAAATCTCAGGATGTCCTTCAATAAAGAGTAGGGGTTTAACATCGGCATCCTGGTCAAATTTGCCCACTGGCCTCTGTCCATCATGGCCTCCTAAGGGCTGATTTACACAAGTAATGTGTGTGTTCTGTTGTGTTTCAGGATCCAGTGACCAAACTGAAGGATCTTGTTCATCTCAAAGACCAGCTGGAGGAGATCCAGAAGAAGGTGGAGAATGAGGTTCAAGCTGGAGTCCCACAGGTACCACATCAGTTACTTAGAAATTACTACTGACGTTTTGATGGCATTCTGATCATTCATTTGGTTTTGGCCAGTAGTCAATATGCTTGTATTAAACACAAAAATGACTAATAAATTAAATGGAAGTGACATGGTTTAATACAATTTTATAATTTCGAACGTTATTGCATTTTTAAACCTTACTCATAAAAACTATTTAGAGTTTTACCTGAGTTTCTGTTTGTTATTTCTTTAGAGCATTTGATGTTTAATTTAAGTTTTAAGCATTTTATTTTATTTTATTTTAATTGTAAATTTAAGACAAAATTATTTAGCTGTCCTGTAATGAAAACCTGAAAAATCAATTATTTAAATATAAAATTTAGATTATATTAGAAAAGTATTATTTAAAAAAAAATGTCTTTCCAGAATTAAATAATTAGTTTTTAAGGAAACAAATTATGAATATCTTTCTAAGAAATGATTATTATTTGGGAAAAAAATACAAAAACCAGGCATTAGAAAGCCACATTTAAGTATTATTTTAATTCAGTTATTTAATTTATTTTTAATTAATTATTTTTATTTAATTATTTAAGTTTTAATAATTATTAATTAAAATAAATAATTGAATGAATGAATTATTTATTAATTATTGTCCTAGCAATTAGAAGTGGTCTAATAAGCAAAATGCTGTGCATTTTATTTAAATAAATGATTAGTTCATTTTAAAAATTAAATAATACAATAAAATATGTCCAAAATGCTGTATGTTCATGTTGCACCGAATATACTACACAACTGAACCTGCTGTCCTGTGTGTGTGTTTTTCAGGGTGGCTCATTATTAGCATCTCCATTTCTGAAAGGTTTTCTGGCCGGGTATGTGGTGTCCAGACTGCGCTCTTCTGCTGTCCTCGGAGTGGCTTTGGGGACGCTGAGTGGGATATTCGCCGCTCAAAACTATCAGGTGCCCAACATCGAGGCCACTCTACGGGACATCCTGAACTCTCTTAAGAAAAGACCTGGAGAATAACAGCAGACCAAAGAGGAGGAGGAAACGCATCATCACCGCTGGCGTTTGTGTTATTGCCACTCCTTCCCTCAACAAAACTGCTGATCTGAATCACATTTTGTTTTGAGGTCTATATGTAAGTGTGGATTGGGGACTGGGATGAAAAATGGGCATTATGTTGGGCTTCATGATTTACTGTTGTAAAACAAATTTCGATTAGACTTGTTGTGATTGTCGAATCACAAAGGATGAGACTGAAATAAATTAATAATCATGCTGCTAAAAGTTTAACTTTGATTAATATCATCCAAAATAAAAGTGAATTTTTACATAATATTATTTATTATTTATATGAGCAATATCACACGAGTAGCAGTGTGCTATGGCTGTATACCAGCACTGGTGGGAGGCGTGCATTGGCATGAGGCTGCAGGCCGAGTGCTTAGTGCCCCACCAGTGCTGATATAAAGCCATAGCACACTGCTGCGAGTGTGATATTGCGTTTATACAACAGTTCGACGGTACAATCTTGTACATAAAAAAGAAAATTCAAACACAGAGATACTAAATACCTTTTGTATTAGGAACTACTTTCTTCCGCCATTCATTCACATCTGCAGCAGATGTCAGAACAGCAGAAGCCATTACTAATTCACCAATGTTACTGTAGAGCAAGTATTTGAATGATTCTCTATAGTGTAATGTGAAGTGGCGCTTCTGGTGTGTGACCCCCTTAAGGTGATGACATGCAGGAAATTTTGCTCACATTTTAAGATTATAAGGATGAACGTGACATGAAATGCCATCCGTCTACAGAGATTTCTCACCAGACTGCTGTTGTGTTTGCGATAAGGAGGGACAAGGCTGAATCCAGCTTCTTATTTGCAGCTTCATATTGATTCCATCCGGTCCTCCTTAAAAACCACAAGGCTTCCGTTTTCAGCTTTTTATTTGCGCTCAAGAGAACACACTGAGCAAGGGCTTATAATACGGTTCTGGCGACATCTTGTGGATAGACAAAGTCAACCGTCTTTGGCCACCGACGAGCTCTCAAAAATTGTAAATATTTTAAAATAGGCACTATTCTTACAAATAAACTGCATAGTTGCAATCTAAACAACTACATTCTTGACTAAAATAGCCTCTAAAGTACATTTTGTTGTCTAACAACAGTAATATTTGTCAAACTGTTGCGTCTCTGCTTGTTGCTTGCTGTATGTGGGCGGAGTAATACACAGAGGTGAAGGATGAAGAGGCCTTTGTGTGATGTTACTGGCAAAATATCACACGGCTATCAGCCAATCAGATTCAAGAACCAGACAGAACTATTTATATATATATATATATATATATATATATATATATATATATATATATATATATATATATATATATATATATATAGTCTTTCCGACACATTTTGATTACTTCTTTTATCTTTAATCAGCAGAAGTGCCACATGACCGACCGAACATGATCGCAATCTCAGCAGATGAATCTCCAGAATCCTCTTCTCCTGCTCTCCGCCTCCGCTGGCTGTTTCTCCTGCTCCTGCTGGTGTTGATCTACGGCTCTCACGCTCCTCTGCTCTCGCTCTGCAAAACACAAGCACAGATCCCCTTCAGCGCTTCATCATGTGTGCTCCTCATCGAGACCTCCAAACTCTTCATCTCCTTCGCTTCCCTACTAGCATCCGGGAGCGTTTCTACTCTCCGAATTTCCATATCCATGACGACAGCATCCCCGTACGCCGTTCCCGCCGTCCTCTACGCCTTCAACAACCATCTAGTGGTCTTCATGCAGGCCTACATGGACCCCAGCTCCTTCCAGGTGCTCAGTAACCTCAAGATTGCCTCCACAGCTCTCCTCTATACATCATGCTTAGGAAAGCGTTTGCATCGCAGACAATGGTTTGCTATGGGCTTGCTAGTATCTGCCGGCGTTTCTCACAGCTGCTTTAGTTACGATTTGGAAGGTAAACAGGAAACGGCGGTTTACATCACTTCCTGGGGTTTGCTGTTGGTTCTTGTGTATTGTTTTGTGTCGGGTTTGGCTGCCGTTTATACCGAACGCGTGCTGAAAAGCCAACGTCTGCCGTTGAGCATGCAGAATCTGTTTCTGTACGCGTTCGGTGTTGTGGTCAATCTGGCGTCACATCTGTCCGGCGGGGAACAGAAAGGGTTTTTTGAGGGTTATTCGGCTGTGGTTTGGGTTATTGTCGCCGGACAGGTTGCCAATGGACTGCTTATGTCTGTGGTCATGAAACATGGAACGGGAATCACACGTTTGTTTGTGATTTCGTCAGCGATGCTAGTCAATGCTGTGTTGTCCTGGGGGATTCTGGGAGTTCAGCTTACTGGGTACTTCCTGTTTCCTGTTGTGCTGATTGGATGGGCGGTGTACCTGTATTATACGTAAAGGAGTAACCACTGACAACCGCATTTAAGTAATTGCTTTATAAAATCAGATCATTATTGGCCTTTAGATTGTAAAACAAATGTATTTTATTTTTTTATGTAGTAGTATTAGTAGCAGAAGTAGGAGGAAGTGTTAGAATTCGATACCAATTGGTACTGAAGTTTTAAAAACGTCCATTTTCCGCTAATATTCGAGCGCTGTTGAGCTCGTTCTTAAACAGCGCTGATTTGCCTTTGTGTTCAGGTGCTTAACGGAAAGGACTGTGATTGGCCGTGAAGTAGGTTTGGGCGATGTCGACCATTTTTGCATCGTACAATGTCTTATATGAAACATCGCGATGAACGATGGCATCGTCGTAATTAGCGGAGGTGAATTAATCATTTATGAATAATTAATTAAGTCATGGCGGCGCAGTGGGTAGCACGTTCGCCTTACATCAAGAAGGTCGCTGGGTCGCTGGTTCGATCCTCGGCTCAGTTGGTGTTTCTGTGTGGAGTTTGAATTTTCTCCCTGCCTTCGCGTGGGTTTCCTCCGGGTACTCCAGTTTCCCCCACAGTCCAAAGACATGCGGTACAGGTGAATTGGGTAGGCTAAATTGTCTGTAGTGTATGAGTGTGTGTGTGTGTATGTGTGCATGTTTCCCAGAAATGGGTTGCGGCTGGAATGGCATCCGCTGCGTAAAAAATTGCTGGATAAGTTGGCGGTTCATTCCGCTGTGGCGACCCCAGATTAATAAAGGGACTAAGCCGACAAGAAAATTAATGAATGAATGAATAATTAATTAAGTCATAACGAAGTTATTATTTGTAGCCTAATGTTTCAACTACCTGACCCTCATGGTCTTTGTTTTACCCATTAACAAATCATAAATAAATAAAGATAAGCTGCACACAAATTACCACCTGTCAATCACTTTTTCCGCGGGAGGTTGGTCGGTTAAAAAGGTGCACAACCAACAGTATCTGAGGTTTTCACTAAAAAAATTACTAAGTACAAGTGTGAAAGTAAAAGACTGAAGCAGTGTACTGACGCTGTGACACGTTACCTGCTAGATTCAAGAGACAGAAGAGTCGTTAGATAGAGACAAGATTAATTAAACATCACGTTTAACAACTGTATTGAGACACGATCCAGCGGTACATCCTTTATAAACTGTCTGACGTGCACTGCTCTCTGGAGCTCAGGCGAGCGCATGACAGTGTGTGTGGCTGTGTGTGTGTGGTCACGTGAAATAAAATGTTCAGCTGAAATAAAATGCTGTTCAGAAATGCTAGATGTAACGTCAGTGTGGATATGGATCATTTTCGTATTAAAATGGCATTTAAAAGTAAGACATATTAGTGTAAACGAGGCCTAAATGTGTATTTTTCGGGAGCGGGCTTGCGTTGGTGGTGGGGTGGAGGATCGGCCATGCCGGCTCAGCATCGATTTGTCTATTGGCCATCGGCGATGGACGATGGCATCGTCTATCGGCCCAACCCTACTGTGAAGGTCATCAGTTCACCAAACTCACCGCTGTTTACTGAGTGTAACCACAATTACAGGGAAACGAGCATTTTAAAGCTGGGAAGATCAGCTGGTCTGCATATAAGCTGACATAAGATAGATCCGCTGATGAAGCGACTGATCTTCACGGCTTTAAACTGTCTTTTTTTTGCTTTTTTATTATTTTTTTACATACTGTATGCTGAAGCAGCATCTCTGATTATTTCATATCCCTCTTTTGTTGTTGTTGTTCAGCAAGAGTCTTTATATATCCCTCTGCCTTTGTCCTCATTCTGGAGGTGCATCTTACTGTGAACATCTCATGAATAAGACTGAATGTCGTTTTTTTTCTGTTGTATGCATTTATTTTGCTCAAATGTGTTGAAATGAATACATGTGGTGCAGCGTACATATTGTATGATTTATGCAAATAAATATGACAGATAATTTTCAGTGAACTGGTCAGGGGTTTTTTTCAGTTTGTCTTTGTGTGTATTCCAAAACTCCCATAATATTTATTGTTTATTTTATACATACACACACACACACACACGTTTGTTTTTGTGAAAAGTGGGTACATTACATAGGTTTCCATTCATTATATTGCTCTCACCCCACCGTACCCCTAACCCCAACCATCACAGAAGTCAGTGTCCAGCTTTACTCTCTGATTAAACTCATCTTGGGGGATTTTTTAAGCGTTTTGAGAATGAGGACGTCACCAATGTCCTTATATTTCACCTCCTTTTTGTAATACCTGTGTCATACCCATGTCATTATACAGATTTGTGTCCTGATATGTCACAAAAACATGTATATACAAACACACACACACACACATATACATATATATATATGTATATATATATGGGTGTATATATGTGTGTGTATATATATATATATACATATACACATACACATATATATACATATATATATATATATATATATATATATATATATATATATATATATATATATATATATATATATATATATGTATATATGTGTATATATATATGTGTGTATATATATATTTATATGTATATATACATGTGTATATATGTATATATATATATATAATATATATATATATATACATATATATATAAAATATTGAGCTATTTCGATATTAACATTAAAGTGATAAACATGCAAGAAAAAGTCAGTAAGGGGCCAAACACTTTTTCACACCGCTGTATTTAAAAATGTAGTTTGCTACACTTGTAAAATCCAGGATATGTTTAGAAAATACACCTGCAAAGCGCTTCAGTTTGATTTTGGAAAAGGTGTAACTCTCTATTTTACCCCTGTTAGTGTCATTCACTGGGATTGAGATGTTTTGCGGAGCTGCTGGATTTCCTCATGGAGCTGCAGGTTTTGTGAAGACAGATGAACCGCGTCCTGAATGGCGTCTATCAGCAGAGTCCTGTATCTGCTCTCCGACATCCTCTTCTGCTCCTCCAGAACATCACGAAACGCCCTAAACACCTGCAGTAACGCAAACACAACACAAAAACACACATCTGATCATTACACTAGACCAGGAATGTCCAAACTTGGTCCTGGAGAGCCGATGTCCTGCAGGTTTTAGCTCCAACTTGTCGCAACACACATACAAGGATGTTTCTAGAAAGCCTAAGCTTGATTAGCTAGCCCAGGTGTCTCTGATTGGGGTTGGAACTAAACTTTGCAGGAGGCCAGCCCTCCAGGACTGAGTTTGGGCACCTCTTCACGAGACAGTCCTTTCAGGATTTTGCCCTCCTGATTTATTAGCCCCCCTGTATTGTTTTTCCCCAATTTGTTTAACACAAAGGTGTCCACACTCGGTCCTGGAGGGCCTGTGTCCTGCAAAGTTTAGTTCCAACCCCAATCAGACACACCTGGGCTAGCTAATCAAGCTCTTACTAGGCTTTCTAGAAACATCCATGCAGGTGTGTTGAGGCAAGTTGGAGCTAAAATCTGCAGGACACCGGCCCTCCAGAACCGAGTTTGGACATCTCTGGTTTAACAGAAAGAAGATTTTCTATACACATTGTTTTACGCAGCAGATGCCCTTCTAGCCGCAACCCAGTACTGGGAAACACCCATAAACTTTTGCCTTCACACACACACACACACACACTACAGCTAGTTTAGTTCATCCAATTCACCTATAGCGCGTGTGTTTGGACTGTGGGGGAAACCAGAGCTAAATGCTGTTCATCAGAGAGTAAGCAGTTTGTTTGTTGACCTGTAGACTCTCTTCTCGGAGGAGGTTGAGCTCCTGCTGGTGTCGCTGGTTCTGCTGCTCCAGATCTGCATACGCCTGCTGGTTCTCCCTGCGGAGAGTCTCTATCTGAAGAACCAGGACGAGTCTCTCTCTGCGCAGGTATGAAATCTCTCCCTCGACACCTCCAGCCTGCACACACAAACAGAGATGGTCAAACATCTCCTTTACTCTCGAAAAAACACTATAGCACTTTATAGACTACAAACGACAGCGTTTTTGAACCATATTATACAGGGTTCATATGGTCCTGGAAAACCTGCAAAGTCATGGAATTTTGACAAGGCGTTTGCCAGTCCTGGAAAAGTTTGGAAAAGCAAATTAACCCAATACACAGAATATATATTGTGTCTTATGTGTGTTCTTCCCTCACCTGCTCCTCCTGCAGCTCTCTCTCCATCTTCATCAGTTCATTCTCAATCAGTCTCTCGTGAGTCTCTTTCAGTCTCGCTCTTCGCTCCAGGATTTTCTCATAATCCACCTGAGAAACATGCACACACACACACACACACACACACACACACACACACACACACACACACACACACACACACACACACACACACACACTCCTTCAAACAGCAGCTGATTTCATTATAATTCTGAAATGATGTACAGCAACATTTGCACTGGGCTCATGTTTGCTTCAGTTTACCTGTGAACCTTGTTAAGAAATCATAAAATAGAATATTTTTCCATAAATTAGAGACTAGTTTATGATTTCTAAAAAAAAAGAAAAAAAAAGAAAGATCCTTTTTCTGTCACTGCTTGTTCACACTCTTGCATTTTCCATTACTAATAATTATATTATTATTATTATTATTATTATTATTGTTATTATTGTTATTATAGAAATCATAAAATAAAATATTTTTCCATAAATGGGAGACGAGTTTATGGTTTCTAAAAAAAAAAAAAAAGTTATTTTTTCTGTTACTGCTTGTTCACACTCTTGCATTTTCTATTGATAATAATTATATTATTATTATTATTATTATTATTATTATTTTAGAAATAATAAAATAGAATATTTTTCCATAAATGGGAGACGAGTTTATGGTTTCTAAAAAAAGTTTATGGTTTCTAAAAAAAAAAAAGTTCTTTTTTCTGTCACTGCTTGTTCACACTTTTGCATTTTCTATTACTAATAATTATATTATTATTATAGTGCTGCTGTAAATTTACTAAAAAAAATAACCTAATTGTGTTGAGTAACTGAAATAAAACACATTGTAAATATTATTAAAAAAAATGTAAATGTTAGTTCATGCAAAAACATTACAAATAAAATTAAATAAATAAAGCTTAATAATAATGTAATATAATGTAAAAAAAACAAAATCAACATGATTAATATATAAGAAAACTGAAAAAATTACAGTGATTTTCTCCTGTGATTTTTATTTTCTTTTTCAAATATTTGCAAAATGATGTTTACAGAGCATGGAATTTTTCACAGTTTTTCCTATAATATTTTTTCTTCTGGAGAAAGTCTTATTTGTTTTATATCAGCTAGAATAAAAGCAGAATAAAAACAGTTTTTTATTTTGGTCTACAGAACAAACCACTGTTTTGCATTGACTTGCCTAATTACCCTAACTTGCCCAATTAACCTAGTTAAGATTTTAAAGGGCCATGAAATCCCCCTGTTTCAGCAGGGTGTTTTCGCACCTCTAGCTTGGAAAAAGTCAGGAAAGTGGGTGTGTCCAGCTCTGTTTAGGTGGGAGTGTCAGGGAGGGAAAGAGGGAAGGATTTGCATAAAAATGGGAGGTTCCATTTGGGCACGCGCTGATTTTCACTGAGGAAAAACAAACACAGAGAGGCAAGGGAGAAAGACAGTGACTGTGTTTAATGACAGTGAAATGTTTGATACCGCATGTCGTATTAGAGAAAAAAACCTCTGCATTTCTCAGTAACTCAGATGGACTCGGTAGGTCAGAAAGCCGAGTGTGTAGACTATCCTGTCACAAAATGCGGCGAAAATTCAACACGACAGTCAGTAATAGTTTGCTTGCAGTGTTTACATGTTCTTACACGGAGAGCAGCATTTACAGCGGATCTTTCAGCCCATTTTGAAGTGATTAAAGTAAACCGTTGACGTAACGTAAACGTAACGTAAAATCATTTTGACTAAGGTCTGTCTTTAAACACTGAAAGAGTTCTGCTGACGATACGAACTATAACTTTGCCATCTGAATGAACAAAGAAAGGGCGCTGATCGCACACACTTACCAAATCTGTAGAGACAGGACAATCAACACCAACTGGAGCTGCGTCTTCTTTAAAAGGAGACGAGCAGCAAATCCGGATATCACAATTTCCAGATAAGAAAAGCTCTCGAGTAAAAAATGTTCAGTACGAAAACATTTTCAACAAAACCTTCATTGCAGCACATTATAAAAGCAACCCTGACAACCCGAATCTCCAAACATTTCTTATTCTTTTCCCTTTTCTTTTGGCAACACAACGTGGCGTCTCTCTGCCGTCTGAACACTGTAACAGGTAAAAGCAGTCTTCGAAGCTAGCATGCATATTAATGAAGTTGCACCGCATACACAATAGAGCGTGCTGATTGGTTTGAACAAAGCCTTACTCATGAATGAATGCAGCACACTCAGAGGCGTAATAAGGTACTCCCAGGTACAGACGTCCAGTCTACATGCTGGAATACACGCTAAGATCTCATGGCCGTGACGCAGCTTCAAAATTTGTTTCAAACAGGAAGTACGAATTTGCTTGAAATAACGCAAAAACAACCAATTTACACTTTTTAGTGAAATATAGGTGTCCTAATAGTGTTTTTAGCAGTGTGGGACACATATACCACTGTCAACAGCTCAAACAATGTGCTTTGGTGTTTCGTGACCCTTTAAGCTGATTACTAATATCTTAAAAATATCTAGTCAAATATTATGTGCTGTCATCATGGCAAAGATAAAATAAATCAGTTATTAGAAATGAGTTATTAAAAGTATAATGTTTAGAAATGTGTTGAAAACATTTTCCCTCTGTTAAACAGAAATTGGGGAAAATATACAGAGGGCTAATGATTCAGGAGGGCTAATAATTCTACTGTAATACAGATAGATTGAGAATTGTTTTTGTAGTTTAGTTTTGTTTAAAGGATTATAAGTGACCTTGGACTGTGTTTGAGATCAGACATCAGACTGCGAGTCTCCTGATTGGTCACTCACCGTGCTCATGGCCTGTGATTGGTCAGGTTCCTGTAATTTGATCTCCTCTTTGTGCAGTTCTTCCTTCAGCTGCCTGATGCGACTCATTCTCTCCTGATTCCTCTGAACGCTTGCCCTGCCCTCTGACATCATCATCAACATCACCATCATCATCAACATCAACCTTCATCATTATCATCATCATCTTCATCATCATGTGAGTACAGGGTTACAACCACAACATATGCTAAAGGTGACATTTTCCCGTTGTTGTTGTTACTCTTGTTAATATTATCAATATTATTGTTATTATTGAGATTTAAAATAAATTAAATAATGAATAAATAATAAATAATAAAAAAATCTATTAAAATAAATGTTTACATTTTTTTATTAATAAATAATTTGTAAAAATCATTTTAATTAAACAGCTTTATTAAAACACTTTAATTAAAGGAGTGTCACATATGTAATAAATACATGTAAAAAGATTTTAAATAATAAGAATTTTAAATAATAAATTAAATGAATTAAAAAAATGAATAAATAATTTAAAATAACAAATAATGAAAAAAAATTGTACAAAATGAATGAATAAATTTAAAACAATTATATAATATTTGACTTTGCCAAGTATTTAAAACAGAGCCTATGGCCTTGAATGAATAAATATATGAATGATTAAATAAATAAATAATATTTGACCTATGGCCTTGATTAGAATGTGTTTTTCTACCAGTGATGTGCATCTCCATTTCCTGTCTGAGGAGCTGCTGTAGGTCTCTCTTCCTGTCTGATGTTTCACACACTTCTGCCCTCGCTCCTTCACCCTACAACACACACACACGATTCACTTAAACTCATATTCACTAGACACATCTTAAGACATACATATTGTTTAACTATGTTACTTACAGAGGAGTCCATGGTTTTGTCGAGCTCTTCTCAAATGAAAAAAAAAACGATGCGTGTGTGTGTGTGTGTGTGGAGTTTGAGTTTCACTCTCTTGAAATATTCATTACTCAGTGTTCACTTTCACCTGTGTGTTTAAATGCACTGCAGCTATAGACTTATAATATGAATCTATTGCAAATTAAATAATTGGTTACCTGAAATAAAATAGCAGCAACGAAAATAAACCTACACAGTTCAAAAAACATTAAATGATTTTATTTAAAGCTGACAGAGCAATGCATTTCATTTAGTTTATATATTTGATGTGGGTTAACTCCAGTATAACAAAACGTTGAATTGAAATAATATTTTAAAATAATAATTGAAATGTTTTTAAAAATAATTTAATCACTAAAAAAACTGTTTGAGATCAACTTCTTGGGCTCAAAATGAGATGTTTTCTAAAGTACTGAAATTACAAATAAAATTGAAAAGAGACAGGTAAACCCTAAATGTAAAATTTAAACTAGAAATATATATTTTTTTAAATAGTAAAAACAAAAAGCTAATTAAAACCTTGAAAAGCAAAAAAACGAATCTGCAATTAAAACAAAAGCTGTGAACATGACATAAAAAAAGAGTTAAAAATAATAATAAATACCATAATAGATGATGGAAAGACAAATGATGAACCGCTTGTGGGATTTCATGATAAAACATTTCATTAAAAAAATAAATTCAGAAAAAAATGTTTAAAGTTGCCAAGTAAATATTTCTTATTTCTCAAAAATACACTACAAAATTATTAAATTCCTTCAAAAAAAATTTAAAAATATACAACAAAATTATTAAATTATTTCAAATTAAATTGAAATATGCAAGAAAATTATTCAATTACAATAAATAAAATAAAAAATGTACAACAAAATTATTCAATTCCTTTAAATTAAATAAAAAATATAGAACAAAATTATTAAATTCCAATAAATAAAATTGAAATAAATGACAAAATTATTCAATTCCTTCAAATTAAATTAAAAACATACAAAAAAAATTTAATTCCATTAAATAAAATAAAAAATACACAAAAAAGTATTAAACTCCTTCAAATTAAATAAAAAATACACTACAAAATTATAAAATGTCATTAAATAAAATTAAAACTACACAAAAAATAGTTAAATTCCTTCAAATTAAATAAAAAATACCGTACAAAATGATTACGTTTCATTAAATAAAATTAAAAATACACAACAAATTATTAAATTCCTTCAAATTAAATTAAAATATACAACAAAATTATTACATTTCTTCAAATTTAATGAAAAAATACAATAGTATTATTAAATTCCTTTAAATAAATTAAAAATATACAACATAATTATAAAAATATATATACAACAAAATTACTAAATACCTTCATCTAAATTAAAAATACACTAAACTATTAAATTCCTTTAAAAAAAATTTAAACAGAAAAAAATAATTCACAATATTAATTATAAAATATAAAGGAAAATCTTTTAAATAAGCATCCTCCAGTGAAATTAAAAATATCCGACTGCCTTCATGCACCATTTTAATCATAATATCTCATATGCAAATGCAACTTTTTAGGAAGTCACTCTTTTTTTTATCATGTTATTGTGAAATTGAATAAAGAAATGAAACAGGATTTCTGTGGTGAAAAAGAGAAGCAGGGCTGACACCATTTAGAAGAAATAGACCCATTTCCAACAAACATATTAGGAGAAACAGACCAAACAATTCATCAAATCAGTGTAACTCTATTCATTTCATAATTTCAATGGATTCATCTGATAGAGAACTGACTTCATGACTATTTAAAATCACTAAACATATCCAAACGAAAATCATTCATTCCCTTTAAGGAGAATGAAAAGAATAAGGATATACTTTAAAAAATTGGGGAAATCTTCAACACAACAAAAATGATTACAGCCCTTAAAAAAATATTCATACACTCATTTATTTCCGGCTTAGTCCTTTTATTATTCAGGGTTCGCCACAGCGGAAAGAACTGCCAACTTATCCAGCATATGTTTTACACAGCGGATGCCCAGTTGGCTTTTCTGTGTGGAGTTTGCATGTTCTCCCCGTGTTGGTGTGGGTTTTCTCTGGGTGCTCCAGTTTCCCCCACAGTCCAAACACATGTGGTATCGGTGAGTTGGGTAAGCTAAACTGTCCATAGTGCATATGATGTGTGTGACTGCGTGTGTATGGATGTTTCCCAGTGATGGGTTGCAGCTGGAAGGGCATTCACTGCATAAAAAATATGCTGGATAAGTTGGCGGTTCATTCCGCTGTGGCGACCCCAGATTAATGAAGGGACTAAGTCGAAAAGAAAATGAACGAATGACTGATGAATGTTATCGATCAAGCCACATTGGATTTAATCTGTTGTGTGTATTAAGTATAGAGTTGCATCAATTATGCCGCTGAATATTAAGTGAATATATAATATAATATCATAGAATTTATTTAATTTGATATGGCTTTTTCTACAGATATATATTTTTACTATAGTCATATTATTAACTGATTAACATATTTTAACGTTTATTAACATATTTTAACATATTTAAATTGATTCTAAGGAGTCCGACAACATGCATAAAAAATCTGACAAATTAAATGAAATCAAAATGTACAGTTAATGATAAACTTAATCATATATATATATATATATATATATATATATATATATATATATATATATATATATATATATATATATATATATATTTTGTGCGTGTGTGTGTTTATTTGATATGCTACCCATGTACTTTTTTGGAAATTGTGATTTACTGCTTTATTTTTCCTGTCTATGGGGATTAAAAAAATCAGTCCTGCGATTCCTGTCCAATCAAAATCACACACACAAAGTAAATCGCATTATTCTGAATAACCTGGGTGAAATATAAATGTAGCAAATTGTTTGGAAGCAATAAAAGTGTCCAAAATCTTTACACGCATTGACCCAGTCTGTTTAGACTGCATGTCACTGATAAGAAGATGGCGGATCTTTACTGTATGATGACTGAAATGGCCTTAAACAATAACTACACTTACCGGCCACTTTATTAGGTACACCTGTCCAACTGCACATTAGCGCAAATTTCAGCCAATCACATGGCAGCAACTCAGTGCATTTAGGCATGTAGAGTTGGTCGTTGTTATGGATGACTCGATACAACCGAGGTATGGAGAAGAGCAGCTCTGCTCTATAACACACAACATGTCCAACCTTGAGACAGATGGGCTACAGCAGCAGAAGACCACACCGGGTGCCACTCCTGTCAGCTAAGAACAGGAAACTGAGGCTTCAATTCATACAGGCTCACCAAAACAATAGACGATTGAAAAAATGTTGCTTGGTCTGATGAGTCTTCATTTCTGCTGCGACATTCGGATAGTCTGGTCAGAATTTGGCGTCAACAACATGAAAGCATGGACCCATCCTGCCTTATATGAATGGTTCAGGCTGGTGATGGGGGTGTAATGGTGTGGGGGATGTTGTCTTGGCACACTTTGGGCTCATTAGTACCAATTGAGCATCGTGTCAACACCACGGCCTACCTGAGTATTGTTGCTGACCATGTGCATCCCTTTATGACCACAGTGTACCTATCTTCTTATGGCTACTTCCAGCAGGATAACGCACCATGTCATAAAGCCTGAATCATCTCAGATTGGGTTTCCTGAACATGACAATGAGTTCACTGTACTCAAATGGCCTCCACAGTCACCTGCTCTCTAACCAATAGAGCACCTTTGGGATGTGGTGGAACGGGAGATTTGCATCATGAATGTGCAGCCAACAAATCTGCAGCAACTGCGTGATGCTGCATGGAGCAAAATCTCAGAGGAATATTTCCAGTACCTTGTTGAATCTATGCCATGAAGGATTAAAGAGGTTCTGAAGGCAAACGGGAGTCCAACCCGGTACTAGTAAGGTGTACCTAATAAAGTGGCCGGTGAGTGTAAATGCACTACAGAATGTTACGTTTGCACACAAATCCACAATATTACATGTAAAAGCATCAGCTATTTACAGCATAATACTCACTACTCGAGCACTTTTAAAAGGGCTACTTTTTACTCTTACTTTTATTCTGCTTGCACTAAATTTTGGGTATTTCTACTCAAGTAGGATTTTTCAGTACTCTCCACCACTGATCTCTAAGAAAGAACATCTATATGAGTAAAAAATGATCTGAAAGAGGAAGTGCATGAGTCAGAGAAGATGTAGAAAACTTATTTCTGATCATATTTGCATGTGTATCTCATCTGCCAGTGCATCTGTGTTTAATTTCACACTTTCACGCATTACGCACACTCATTTGGAGACAGCATGTGTTTATTACAGGCCTCATATATATATACAATCATAGTCACTCTCATATTCATACCATCCCAAACAACATGCCTTGAAATAAAATTAAAATTAAAATAAAGGAATTACATCACACTGAAGACATATTATATAGATGTTATTAGAATAAGGGTTAGACTATATGCTTTAACATCTGCTAGAAAAGTATGCGTGCTTATCTCTACTGAACACAGATCATAACAAGAGGTCTAAAGTAAAAAGGTTATTGGGTTATTCCCATCAAACAGCGTCCAGATGGATAGATTTGATCCTCAGGAGACACAGTTAGTCGACAGATTTGAGTTGTTATTTTTTTTTTGTTGATGGTGAAGATGATCCTGATGTGGATCTACATTCACACTGGAGAAAAACAGAAAAAGATGGACGTTAGTTCTGCGTTTCTGCACATTATCAGCACATGAATGTTGTTTTTGAAATAAAAGCAGACTAATCTATGTTTGACTAATGGTTAAAAACACATTAAGAACATCGGTGATGGTTCATCATCAGAGAAATGCATAAAAAAATGTATTACGATTAATTATAAATCACGATTAATCACCTACAAAGTTTGTTTTGACATAATTTAAGTGTTAACTATGTATATTTAGTTTGTTTATATAAATACACACATGCGTGCATACATTTGAGAACATGTTTATTTGTATTTAGATATAATATATGTATATATATGCTACGAGTGTGATATTGCGTTTATACAACAGTTTGACGGCATAATTGTGTATATAAAAACAAAATCAAACATGGAGAGTCTCAAAAACCCTTCTTGATGAGGAACTACTTTCTTCCGGATTCAAATCTTAAGCTGACAGTTAAACAGTTCAGCTTGCATCTTTTAAACTTTAGATCTGTAGTGTCTGATTTTTGCTGGCTGTATGTGGGCGGAGTAATACACAAAGGGTAAAGAGGCTGTAGGAGTTCTAATATTTCAGAATATTGCACGGCTATCAGCCAATCAGATTTGAGAACCAGACAGAACTGTTGTATATATATATATATATATTTGTATATGATACAAATTATTTCATACATTTTAATAATATAACAAAATTGTGTTGTACAGTTTTGTTTCTATGCATTTGTGTGTATCACATATAAAAATAAATATATATATAATACACACACGTATATTACGAAAATATATATATATTTTGGATTAAATTTGATTAATCTTTTCCTAGCACAAAAAAAACAATACTATTTACAAGTTGCATCTAATCATTATTACAGTTTGAGTATGTGCATAAATGTTTTTTCATTTACTGTGTTGAATATTAGTCTAATTTAGTGCACTTAAAGGGCAGACACAAAACGTTAATATTAGGTTAGATTTAGGTTGTGATGTCAGGTTTACCAAAATTCAATGCACGTTATTTTGACATCCAATAACGACGTCAAATGATGTTGATGTTTGGTTGTTTTTTGGTTGAGCCAACATCTTAAACCAACATCATATTGACGTCAAATAATGACATTTATTCGTCAGGTATGGCAACCAAAATCCAACGTTTGAAAGATGGAAAGTTGGAACATCCACACAACGTCAAGCTGTAACATCATTAGACGTTGATTTTTGGTTGTTTTTGGTTGTTTCTGTCTGACGTTGGACACTGATGTTGGGTTCTGATGTCAACTTGATTTTCATTTTCACCCAAAATGCAACTACCATTGACATTAGTGTACAATGTCAATTTGACACCCCCCCCCTCCTCCCGCAAAAAAAGCTCTCGGCCAAGTCACTGATAGCAACATCTAAGCTATTTTTTTTTATATATATATATATATATTTTTTTTTTTTCCTTTTTAAAATCAAAGTAAATAGGCGACGCAGTGGCCAGCGGTTCACTCCGCTGTGGCGGCCCCGAATTAATAAAGGGACTAAGCCGAAAAGAAAATGAATGAATGAATGAAAATCGAAGCAACTATACTATTGTTGCAACCATAGTTGTTGCATTGCAACTGTGAAAGTGCCACAGCAAATTAATTCAATTACTTACATATAGTATTGTTCAAAAACACTATAGTATTTTAAATAATTTAAATACTGTATTTACATAAAACTATGTAATATATATATATATATATATATATATATATATATATATATATATATATATATATATATTCACTGTTTGTTCTGCAGATGTGCCCATGTGCATTTACATGAAAAAAAAAAAAAAAAAAAAAAAATATATATATATATATATATATATATATATATATATATATATATATATTATATATATATATTTATTTATTTTGTCATGTAAATGCATATGCGCACATCTGCGGAACAAACAGTGAATAAATGTAAAACCAATTCATTTCTAACAAGAGGACATCATCAGGATTAACTTTAAGACATGTACTTTGAGGTATGGTCCTGCTTCAGACATAATTCCTCTACAGTCATCTTTCCCTCAAGCAAGTTTCTGTGTCAGCCAAATGATACAAAATTGATTGGCAACATCACCGACTGGAGTGAGAGGTGGCAGTAACTCAACAAAAAGTTTGTTTTTCGACCATCGTAAAACACAAAGGGCTCCATTTTGACGGTCCATGTGCAGAGCGCAAAACGCAGGGCGCAAACGCTTTAAGGGCGTGTCAGAACCCATTTTTGCTAATTTAAGGACGGGAAAATCCGCTTTGCACCGTGGCGCATGGTCTAAAAGGGTTGAGTTTATTTTCTTAATGAGTTATAGGTGTGTTTTGAGAATAAACCAATCAGAGTCTCATCTCCCATTCCCTTTAAGAGCCAGCTGCGTCACGCCAAGAGCGCATTCGCTATTTACAGGACGTAAGTTAAGTCTAAGTGGAAAAACTAAACATTTCACTAGCAAACAGTTATCACTTTATTTAACAGAAAACTGTTAAACAGAGCATCTACTGCGTGAGAATGAGAGATAATGGATCACTTTCACTTTCGCTCTTGGATAGGGAAACCTTTACGCACAGACATCAATTAGTCTATAAATAATTAATTTTGTTTGTTAAGAGCAAATATTCATTTCAAAACTATTTCTAAATTCAGTTCTAATTACCAGCAAACGAATAAATAAACAATAATAACAAAGTGTGCTCAAAAACCTGAGTTATATCCTAAAACACATGCTGTGCCCCATATGATCTAAAACCTGACAGGTGGGCAAATCTAAGCTTGTTTTTAATAAAACAAATATAAATATGAATATAATAAATAATACTGCTAATAATAATAACATTATACAAAAGCAAATTGTTATGAATGAACTGAAAAAGCCTCCCAAGATGAAGAAGACATAAAAGCAGTGATTTTTCATATTCATGTAGGCTAGAAAATAATATGTTTTGTAATATTTGAATCCTTTATATTTATATCCTATATCTATTCTTATTATATCCTATATATATATCCTTAATATTTAAATTTTTTCATATGTAAAGATATTTGCCTATTGCTCTCTTGTGCGTATTAAGCAGTGTGTAAGCGAGGCGCAACTCTGCGCTGGAGTTTAGACCGGGTTTGCTTTGGTCTAATGAAAAATCTATTTTAGTTTCTCAAAATAGCAACGCCCCAGCGGTCCGCCTCAGAACGCTTCCTTTTTAGACCAGAACACCTATGGGCGCACATATGAGCGCTAATGCATTTGCTATTTAAACAGCGTAGCGCAACGCCTCAAAACGACTCTTGCTCCGAGCTGAAACTAGCAAAAGACTATTGCGCCGCGCCTTGCGCCACACTGCGCCTGGGTGTATGATAGGGCCCAAAGAAGATTTCGCTATTCTCACTATCATATGGATTTACTTTCATCGGCCAGACATCGGCTTCACAGCTCCATGAATGTCGGTGGTGTCACTTAATAATCCATGATCGATAAATGTAGCTTGTGTGGACGCTACTGCGCTGCTTGCTTAAAATATTAGCTTCACTACTGAAAAGCTATTAGATTTAGCGACGCTGCTGAGAAATGCAGTTAAGCTAGTAGTGTCTACTTGTAGCAGCGCTACTACCCAACACTGACAAATAATATGGAACTTAATAGTTTCCAAAGTTCATCAAAATATCTTCTTTTGTTTTCAACAGAAGAAAGAAACTCATAAAGGTTTGGAAAAAATTGAGTGAGTTTTCATTTCCTGATGAGCTAGCATTAGCACATTTACTGCTGAAACACACCTGATTCACACTGGGGTCTGCCGCGGATGCGTGTGCCCTCGATCTCAGTGCCGTCTTTAGTCACACACCAGCAGTACCCGGTGCTGTGCCAGCACTGCATGGGCATATAGTTGCCCTCCTCATCGCATGCAGGCTTGAAGAACCCAGGCCTCACCTCACGCTCAGACTCCAGCTTACACTTAGTCTCCAGTTCAACAACTGCACAGAGACACATGTGTGAATGTGTTATATAGAGACATCTGAAGGGGCAGATCTGACCAGTGAATGTATGTGTGTGTTAATGATGACAGTAAAATTCAAAATTTAAGAGTAGAGGTGTAGTAAGGCCATATAACAAGCGATTTTTACAGTGTAAAATACATTATGCCTATGGAGGGTCCTCGTGAACTATATATAGAAGTGTGTGTGTGTGTGTCTCACCTGACTCTGGTGAGCTCTTCACGTCCTCATCTGCGTTCACCAGCAGTGGCATACTCCTCATGGGCAGATGCATCATCTTCGGCATCAGTCTAGAACCTTCCGACAGAACATGGAGATGTAGATTAACAACAGTGGACAAGAGCTTGTGATGTGTTGAGAATGTGTTCATGACAAGGTCTTCATTTATTACAGTGTTTACTTTTTAATCAGATTGTGTATTGAATATGTCATTTATTAGGGATAGTTCTCTAAAAAATTAAATTTACTTTATTTCACTTTACTCAACATCGTGATTGCAAAGCTTTACGAGATTCCTTTTTTCTGCTGTACAAAAAAAGATGATAAATGAAGAATTTTACAAATCTATAGCCATTGACTACTGAAGTAGGAATAAAAATACTATGGAAGTCAATGGTTACCGTTTTTCAACATTCTTCAAATTATCTTCTATTGTGTTCAACAGAACAGATCAAACAGGATGGGAATAAGTGGAAAGTGAGTAAAAATGACAATTAAAATTGTTCGGTGAACTACAATTGAATATATGTATATATATTTTTAAATTCCATATATCAGTTTGTATATTGACCAACAGATTTATTTAAAGGTGTAGTCCACCCAAAAATGAATTTTTAATTGCTTTAATCAACATTAAGTTTATCCAAGGTTTTAAAGGATTTTTATTTTTTGCTGAGCAAAATAAAAAATTTTTGTAGAAGTTAAGAAATCATTAGCCGTTAACAACTAAAGTAGGTATAAAAATACTATGGAAGTCAATGGTTACCAGTTTTCAACATTCTTCAAAATATCTTCAATTGTGTTAAGCAGAACAGATCAAACAGGTTTTGAATAAGTGGAAAGCTGAAATTTAATCTATATTTAGTTTTTATATTCAATATATCAGTTTGTTTATCAATTATCAAAACAATTTGAAGGGATAGTTCACCCAAAAATGACAATTTTACTCACACTTGACTTAACATCAAGAGATTTGGCTTCGCAAATTTTTTTTTTCTGCTGAAAACATTAGCCATTGACACCTAAAGTAAGACTATAATTACTTTGAAAGTCAATGGTTACCGGTTTTCAACATTCTTCAAAATATCTTTTTTTTAAATATATATCTGATTTATCAGTTTGTATAAAAATGATTTAAAGGGATAGTTCACCCAAAAATAATTTTTTACTCGTGCTTTAGTCAACATTAAGTGATTCCGAGGCTTTACAGGATTTTTTTTTTTGTTTCTGCTGAACAAAATAAAGAAGATATTTTGTAGAATTTTAGAGGTCATTAGCCATTGATTTCTAAAGTACGAATAAAAAAATACTATAGAAGTCAATGGTTACCGGTTTTCAACATTCTTCAAATTATCTTCTATTGTTTTCAACAGAACAGATCAAACAGGATGGGAATAAGCGGGAAGTATGACAGAATAAAATTTTTTAAATGAACTACAATTGAATATAAATAGTTTTTATATTTAATATATCCGTTTTTGTATCGGCGAAACTATTTAAAGGCATAGTTCACCCAAAAATTTAATTTATTCACACTTTACTAAACACCAAGTGATTTAGCTTCGCTAAATAATTTTTGTCTGCTGAAAACATTAGCCATTCACTACTAAAGTAAGACTATAAATACTATGGAAGTTAATGGCTAACAGTTTTTAACATTTTTCAAAATATCTTCTATTGTGTTCAGCAGAACAGATCAAACAGGTTTGGAACAAGTGGAAATGGGTGAACTATTTAACATATATTCTGTTTTTATGATTTATTTATGATATTTATGTATGTATTTGTTTTATGTACATTGTTATGATATTTTTGATTGTTTTTTGTAAGGAACAAGTAGAAACCAAGTTGAACGTGACAAAAGTTTCTACAATTTAATCAATATTCTGTTGTTATGATATTTGTCATGATATTTATGTACATGTATTTATGTTATGTATATTGTTATGATTGTTTTGTGCTTATGAACAAGTCGAAATGGAGTAAAGGTGAAAGAATTGAATCTATATTTAGTTTTTTCATGATTTATTTGACTTATGATTGTTAAGATATGTGTGATATTTATGTTATGTATATTGTTATATTTATGATTGTTTTTATTTTTTTATTTTATTTATGATTGTAGTTCATTTTGAAATGATATTTATATTATGTATATTGTTATGATATTTATGATTTAATTAATGTCAAATGTCTCTGTGTTTTGTATGTTTGCTGGCTGTACCATCTACTTGTCCGCTTCCCTCTCTCTGGTTGGAGTAAATGGGGCGCAGTTTCTAAAATGAGAATCAGATATTCAGAATTGAATAAGTCAGAACGTTATACAACAATATTGAGTGTTTTTATGGTCTGTTTCTAACCGTGAGGGGAACGCTCTTGCTCTTGACGGCGGTCTGGTCAGAAGTGGGGTCAGAGTAATCCTTCAGGAGTGGCATGCTGTTCATGGGCAGAGACATGGCCTTTGGAGCTCCAGCTGAAAGACGGAAGTAAACAAACACGATGAACAGGTTTCACTTTGCTCTATAACTTTCAAAAATATATACAGTTGAAGTCAAAATTATTCAAAATATATGTTTTGTTTTCCCAAATGATGTTTATCAGAGTGTGAGAAAGCCTTATAGCGACCACTAGAGGAAGGTTGCGTGAGAAGGAGTTCAGTGACAAAAGCCAGTCATGTCGGCTGGAGAGGCACGGCCTACAGATCGGGCTGGCTGGACTGTGCAATCGATTTGCACATGTTTTACACCAGTGTGTAATTGATTATGGGCGAGTCCCCTTGTTTGCTATCCTTTTTGATCCAGATTAATGTTGTGATTATTGTTATGTTCTTGTAAATCACACTGTATGTCTCGCGATTTCCACGTGCGTCATAAGTGAAAGTAGATGTTATCAAACCCAACGATCTCATTTCGGACTTTAAACTGGAAATTCACTTTGATTCATAGTTTAATACAACCTATTTAATGTATCTGTTTAATATATATCACCTGATTCAGTCAATAATTTTCACTTTTGGGTAGATTTAGCCTGTACAATAATACTGAATGGTCATTCCAATTGCTTACAACAGTATATTTAATTGATCATTGTCATTATAATCCACAATTACTCGATGCATGTTTATTTGCATCATAATTAATAAGTTTGTGTGTATAATTTACTGACATTAGCAATTGTTCCTCTTTGTATTTTTCTGTCTTATAGACCACATGTGTGAAATGACATTCCAGCATGATTAAACTTACAACTGGGAATCCTTCTGTTCTCTTACCGGGAACTACCACTATCACCTTGTGTGCACGACACCTGAACCCATCGAGTGTCCCATACGCTCGTATACAGAGCAAGGAATTTTTCACAGTATTTGCTATATGTTTTCTTCTGGAGAAATACAATGACTTGCCTAATTACCCTAATTAACCTAGTTAAGCCTTTAAATGTCACTAAGCTGAATACTAGTATCTTGAAAAATATCTAGTCAAATATTATTTACTGTCATCATGGCAAAGATAAAATAAATCAGTTATTAGAGATGAGTTATTAAAACTATTATGATTAGAAATGTGTTAAAATAACTCTCCGTTAAACAGAAATTGGGGAAAAGATATAGAGGGGGGCTAATAATTCTGACTTCAACTGTAAATACAGAGAGTGTTTCTGCAGGTGGTTTGTCAAGCCCACTCACTTGTGTGTGACAGGTGTTGGTTAAAGTGTCAGAATGTTGAAAGAGTGTGCATTTTGCAGATTTTGTTTTGTGTGTTTACGCACCTGACATCTTCCTGGTGAGCTCAGCCTTGAGTTTCTCCTGTCCGCTGGTCAGAGCGTTGATGTGCTGCTTCTGGCCCCATACCATGTATGCAGTCAGCGCCTGTCCTGCCAGCAGAAGACAGGCCAGGACGGTCAGTCCGGTGATCTTCAGGGCCTTGGTATTGCTGTTCCTGCAGATGGCGCCACATGACAATGACAAAAACACTGTTAAACCTCTGGACTTTCTAAACCTTGGTTTAAAGGTGATCACCAATATGGTTTGGTTTCATGTAGAAGACCCCTATAAATATTATTGATTTGTAATATCATGTACCATAGGTAATTATTTATTTGAATTATTTTCATATTTGATATTGTATAATTGTACATATATACAATACTGTAAAGTTTATTTTTTTATTTTATTTTTAAAAAATCTCTATTTTTTTCTTTTTGTATTTATTATTTATTTTATTTTTTTCCCCATTTTGCTATTTTTTTATCTATCCCTGTTGTAGTTGTATTTTAATTTTATTTGTTTGTGCATTCATTTCGGCGGCAAGGTTCAAAAAAGGGGGAAGAATTGCAACCTGGATTGTACAAAATATTTTGTTAAAGCTTTGGAAAATAATCACAAATAAATGTTACTTTAGTTTTCCAGTCTTCTATTAAAAAAAATACTCTGGATTTTCTTTAGTCATTATTTAAATACAATTTCATGATCTGAAAATAATAAAGCAAGCAAAACTATGTCTAACTTTAATGTTTAGTAATGACTTACATACTGTAACTGACGTTCACTGCAGGCAAATGTGGCCATAATCTGATTTGCTTTGCCCACATGTGACTCACATCTGTTTTTGTCATGACAGTGTGAACAGCCCAAACCGCATGAAATCTGATCGTTTCTTTTTAATTTCGATTTGTGCCACTTTCATATGTGATATTAAATCAGACACAGATCTGATGTGTTGCAGTCTGACTGCAGTATGAACGATCATGTTTTTGGAATTCATGAAGTTTCGATCGACCTGCGGCATCGTTAATTGCTGCAAACATCCTTTACCCCTTAGTACAATAGCACACAGAGCAAATACTTCACCAGAAAAATATACATTTGAACTTGGCTTGTTAACCGATTATTAAAAATTAACCCTTAAAAACATATGTTAGATTTAACATTAAAAACCTAATCCATTTGAGTAAATGAAGCAATTTGAGCGCAGTAAAACCCAATAATTTTCCAGAGATGGGTTGCGGCTGGAAGGGCATCCGCTGTGTAAAAACTTGCTGGATACGTTGGCGGTTCATTCCGCTGTGGCGACCCCGGATTAATAAAGGGACTAAGACGACAAGAAAATGAATGAATGAAAACCCAATAAATGAAGAGAACTCCATTTAAGGAAACCGATTGCTACAAACCATTTGAGTTAATCTATATGAGTACTGTAAACTTACTCCATTAAGTAATGAGGTGTTTAATTACCTCATAACCTTCAACACTTCAGGTCAAAACTCTTTTTAAATGAATAGAATTAACATTCAGTCGATTTTGAGTTAACTACACTCATTTCATTTGATAAAGCTGAAAGTTGGGTTTTACAGTACCAACTGTACAGACATTTTCACAGACATTTCAAATGTCTGTGAAAATGCCAATAACCACATTAAACAGAATCTGACAACATGTTTTTTCCACCTCATTCAACATAGACCTACAAACTATGTGCTTAATTAGGCTTTTGTGGATGTGGGTCTATTTAGGATCATGATCTGTTCACACTGGAAATCTGATACTGGACACGTACAGTATATGCAAGCAAATCAGATATGAGAAAAAAATTGAGGTTGGAGCACTAAGCCTTGCAGTGAGAACATAGCCTTAAACGTCTTACTCTCGAGATCATATTCATGTTCTTTATTATTAGGGGTTCGAGCGCAAATCGCTGAAACCTTATTGTTTTTGTAAAGATTATTATTATTATTATTATTCTGCCGAAGTTTGTTTTGGCCAGACCAAACCGTAAGATCTAGAGAGCTATAACTTAGTAGGATGGTAGTACTCGGGTATACTACATGCTGGTCAAAAAATCCGCCAAATCTGACCAAAGGTGGCACTGTGGTAACAGTTCAGACATTTCTGGCAGCCATTTTATAGACGGTTTGTTGTAGACTCAACAACTTTACATTTTTTGAATCCTTGGATTAACCAGAGCAAAAGTCGCACTTTTGGCTCTACGATGCACCATTTCTCGACTAAATCGAGATTTGTTTGAAACCTACTTTTGCAAACTAGTCCTAGTTATTTTTCTTTCTTACTCTCTCTTTGTACCTTTTTCTCATTGACAATGTATGTAATTGGTATTTCGTGTATTGTTTATACATATTGTTTGCATGTCAACTCTGTATTCTATTTGCATTAATAATAATAAAAAAGTAATAAATATAAAAATCTGGACTTTCTGCACTATGAGGGAGTTTCCAGACTGAAGGTCACTGCTAATGTTTGCAGCAGTGGGCGTTGAGTTTTTTTAATGAATGATTGTCCACCAACAAGTGTTTTCCCCTCTGCGTTAAATGGAATTTTTGATGTTTAACTGTTTTAAATGTTTGATATTCTCTGTTAATTTGAGGAAATAGAGAGAAATAGATTTAAGGATCATTTAAATAAACCTGGTGTTGCTTAAAGGATCTTTTTTTATTGCAATTACAACAAAGAAATTACAATTAAAAACAGACAAAAGTAGTACAAACCATACAGAGATTATTTCTTTTTTTTTTTACAATAAGGAAAATATTTAAATTATATTTAATATACACTGAAAAACAATATTCAAAAACGATTCCTTGGATTTCCAAAATCTTTTTAAGCTAAGTGGTTGTTGGTTTATTATTTAAAAACAAATTAGGTTAAAAATTACTCAATTTGTTTGTTTAAATTCAGCCCGTATTAAAGATTTGCAACAGTTTTTTTTCCGTGTAGTATAACAAGCGTATAGAACAAAAAGAGAGGAATAAGAAAGAAATAAAGAAAAGGAAATCAGGATTAATGCAGAATATAAATTATCTTCTTTTGTAAGTTTTTTTAGATAAAAATGCAAGCTAAAAAACAAAAGCAAATAATATGTTAATAAAGATTATGTTGGATGGTTTGGAATTTTAAAAATCCTGAGAATGATAACTAGAATGAAAACCCTTTAAATATCTATAAATATAAAATAAAATAAATATTCAGCTTTTTTTAATGTGTTTCATTTAACTTCGTGTACTAAAGCGATTACAACTAAAATAAAAAAAAACATAAATAAATATAAACAATAATAATGTTTTAATTATGCTAAAATAACACAGATCCAACTTTAAACATTTGATATTTATTACAATATATTTTATGATTTAGTTCTAGCACAATGAGTATTATTAGTTTTATGGCCTTAACTATATGTGGATTGTTTAATAATTAATTTAATATATGAAATACATCCTCATTTTAAGCACGTGAAATATTTTTTTGTTTAAAACAAACAGCAGAGCTAGTTCAAATTAAGTAGTGGCCATGTAAAAATGTATAGAAAATCTAAAATACTTCCTAAAAAGCAGTGTGAAACATTCACAATTCATTTCAGAAATAGGCCAAACAAACACACAAAAGAATTATATATAATATATAAATGTCAATAATTTCAATGTTAAGCTCTAAATAATTGTCATTTATTTATGAAATCTATCAAATCTTTAATGTTTTACAACCGAGCAAAAGGATTAAAAAAACAAATCAGCTATCGTCCATTTCATGAAAACAACCAATCATTAACTTCAGCGTCTCTGACGTCACGGGTAGCTATGCAGAGTTTGTTTTCATCCTCACCGATTTACTTCTGTTTTTAATTCTACAACGCAAGCTGTACAATAACACTACATTAATAAGGATTTATTTAGCTGTTATTATTAATATTTATATGCACAATACTGTCCTGTAAAAGAGGCCCTTTTCTTCCAATCACTTTGATAAATTTAGATAATGCTATCTTGATAAATAACCCTCAGAAATATATTGTAGCTATTTTCATGTAATAATGCCATCTAATAATAGCACATACTGAAACAATCAACTATTTATTATAAGTTACAAACATTGCAATGCATAAACAATGTTAAAAACTATCCTTGAGTACCAAAACCTTTGAGTTATGCACATTTACCATAAGAAATGCTATACTATACAGCAATAATCCTTCAATATGCAATAAAATTGACTCATTTAACGATTTCATCATGCACTAAAACATTTGCAATACATAAATAATGTTTTCATACGCACAATGCTGTCATTGGATACCAAAAAGTTATTTAAAGTCATGCATAGACGAACATTTACCATCAGAAATGCTATACTTTAATTACTATAATGCACTAATATGCAATAATATTGACTGATTTCATCATGAGCTACACACATAAATAGTGTTTATCCGCACAATGCTGTCAATGGATACCAAAAAGTTAATTAAAATCATGCAGACTTGAACACTTACCATCAGAAATGCTATACTATAATCACTATAACGCACTAATATGCAGTAATATTAAATCAATTAACGATTTCATCATGAGCTACACACATTGCAATACATAAATAGATTTTTTACACACATATATACGTCAGTAGGTACCAAAAAGTTCTTTAAAATGTCCTTAGAAATGCTCTAATGCTGTGTCATAATATATAGTGAATAATTTAGCTATTTTTTCATGAGGTACACGCATTGCAAATGCATTAATAATGATTTTATACATGCATTCAAATATCATTAAATACCAAAAAGTTCTTTAAAAACTCCTTAGAAATGCTCTAATGCTGTGTAAAAATATATAGTGAATCATTTAGCTATTTTATTATGAGCTACACACATTGCAACACATAAATAATGCTTTTATACACACATTTATACATCATTGAGTACCAAAAGGTTCTTTAAAATCATGATTTGAACTCCTTAGAAATGCTCTAATGCTAGAAATATTATATTGTAATATCATTTAGCTATTTTATCATGAGTTACACACATTCAAATACATAAATAATGATGTTATGCACACATTTATACATCACTGAGCACCAACAAGTTCAAAATCATGATTTGTACTCATTTGATATGCTTTAATGCTGTTTAATAATATATTGTAATATAATTTAGCTATTTTAATCATGAGGTACAAACTTTAAAGTAAATCTACTCAATCACCTTGCATCACCTCGACCCAGGATGGTCTCTGCACTGGGGACGCGCTGAATCAGAGACTCGTTCTGGTGGTCTGGCTCCATCACTGCTGTGTGTGAGTGTGTGACTAAAAAAAGTGCGTGTTTACGTCCTTTAACACTGAATGACCGTCTCTGTGATTCTCCAAAGGTTTTATTCGCCTCCCAAACCCGTTTTTCAGGATGTCTGTGACGGAAAGCCCCCAGTTTTCAGATTCTAGAAGCTGAACCTCAGTCGTTCGCGTCTGCATTTCTCAAATCTGATTGGCTGGCGAGTAAAACGTCATCAGTTGATGGAGAGACTCAAACTTCGACCATCGTGTTACTATCGAAAGTGGTTCACTGAACACAGGGGAAGTAAATATCACAATTAATCCTTTAATTTTAAACAAAAATAGGAAATATCTACACAAATATGTCGAATATATTCATATAAATGCTTCTTATAAACGTGAATTAAATCGCTATACACATATAGGCCTTTGTTATGCATTCGTGAGGTAATTTAAGTGAAAGCTTGTGTCTTATCTTTTTAAATGTACATTAGTAATACAGTATTACACTTTATGTACATAATAGGACTTTAAACTTGTACACAATAGCTATTTAAATGGTTGTAAGTAACATGATGTTATAAAAAGGGTATTAATTAGCTATAAGTACAGGCATTTTGCATTCCTGAGGTAATTTAAGTGAAAGTTTGAGTCTTATCTTGTTAAATGTATATTTTATATTAAACTTTACATGCATAATATTAATATAAATTTCACTATATAGCTATTAAGGTCTTTGTAAGTAACATGATGACATTAAAAAGGGTATTAATTAGTTATAAACATAGGCATTATGCATTCGGGATGTAAGTGAAAGTGATATCTCTGTTTTGTGTCATGCCTTTTTAAATGTGCATTATATTTCTTATGACTTTAATAGTCTAATACAATTATAAAGTTTTACATTATAGCATTGGTAATGATTGTAAGTGACATTACGTGGAGTTAAAAACATAAACATGATAAAATATGAGTAAATTAGCGCAAGTTCTGCCAAGAAACCAATGATTCGTGCTCTCTGATTGGACACCACAGAGAAAACTTATTCCTTTTAAAGAAACATGTTGTTCTTCCTAAAACACAGAACTGAAAAAAGAATCAAGTTCGCAAAACTCCACTGTGACACACCGTCACTTCCAAATATCAAAGGTGAAGTGAAATTTTCATCTATATGGACCACTGACCTGATTTCCGGAAACAAAACATCAGTTTTATCAGAAGATATGTTGTGTTTTGAAGCCAGTTGTGGTGAAATTATGTGTTATTTTAGAAAAATATGATAAAACATTAACAGTCTAGTTTGATTTTATCATTTTAAATGATAAATTCTTTATCCAGAAATGCAGACTTTCAAAATCACCCTCCTTTTATAAGGTTTTTATTAACAAACTTACACTTTTAAGTCTCTCAAAGCATTGGCTATCTATTGTATGAAGCTGTATTTGGCGTCTTGTGAATGCCTCCCATTTTGTTTTGTTTTGTTTTCCTTTTTATTTGAATTTCAGTTATCTTTGGAATTTTTTTGAGGCGACACGGTGGCTCAGCAAGAAGGTCACTGGTTCGAGTCCAGGTTGGGTCAGTTGGCATTTCTGTGGTGTTTGAATGTTCACCCTATGTTGGCGTGGGTTCAGGGGCGGACTGGGACTAAAAATCAGCCCTGGCACTGTAACCACACCAGCCCACATTACCACACTGACACACCCCCATGCACGGACGCGCACATTCACTACTTAGATTGGTGTACAGATGGTGAAATAATATAAGCAGTACCATACAGTATGTAATCAGCCTGATCTCACGAGAAAACGTAAGTATTTTACGTTTTGCCAGTTTAGTGGCTAATTCGTACGAATTCGTACGAGTTCAGTCGTACGAAATGGTACGATTTTAAAAAGGAGGCGTGGCACCTAACCCCACCCATAACCCCAACCGTCATTGGGGGATAAGCAAATCGTACTAAATAGTACGAATTAGATCGTACGAATTCATACGAATTAGCCACTAAATGAAAAAGTTACAAATTGCCGTGAGATTGTGTTGTATGTAATAGATATCTAAACATTTAATGTATGTGACTGTAACAAAAACAACCCATTTATAATAAATTCATATATGCAATCAGTTCATTCATTCATTTTCTTTTCGGCTTTGTCCCTTTATTAATCTGGGGTCATCACAGCGGAATGAACCGCCAACTTATACAGCATATGTTTTACGCAGCGGATGCCCTCCAAGCTGCAACCCATCACTTTTCACAAACATGCACTACGGACAATTAAGCCTACCCAATTCACCTATAGCACATGTGTTTGGACTTGAGAGGGAAACCAGGAGGAAACCTACGCATACATGCAAACTCCACAAAGAAACACCAACTGACCCAGCCGAGGCTCGAAATAGCGATCTTCTTGCGCCATGCACTACCCCCTTTCAAGACTATTTCATTTAATTTTATGCATTTGGCATTTTGACTTTGACTTTTTTTTTTGTTTTCTCTGAGCTTTTTGACACTGCCTTTAATTTTTGTAAGGTCCATTTTTGACAATTAGCTTGTTTGTAGCTTTATTTAACATTCTTGTCAGGTTTTTGATTAGGTCCGGTTTACCTCTGATTGGGTCGGCCCATTTCAAAACTATGCGGTTGTTGCCGATTGGGCCAATGCTTAACATTTATTATTATTATTACTATTATCATCATCATCGTCATCATCATCCTCATAATATTCACATCTTACAAGAGATAAACGCTGCCTGCATGTAAAAACAATACATATAAAAAAATGTATAAAAAAAAAAAACTGACCGGCTCACATTTAAAAAATGGCATTTGCCAGAATTGCCAGATGGTCAGTCCGCCCCTGCGCGGGTTTCCTCTGGATGCTCTGGTTTGCCCCACAGTACAAACACATGCGCAGCTGGAAGGGCATCTGCTGCATAAAACATATGATAGAGTAGTTGGCGGGGCATCCCGCTGTGGTGACCCCTGATGATAAAGGGACTAAGTCGAAGGAATATGAACGAATGAATTAATGAATGAGTTTTGTTTTTGATGTCTGTTTTTCTTGGAATTGTAGTTTACCAATGCACATTAGGCAGCACGGTGGCGCAGTGGGTAACACAATCGCCTCACAGCAGGAGGGTTGCTGGTTTGAGTCTCGGCTGGGTCAGTTGGCATTTCAAAACGTGCTGGATAAGTTGGTGGTTCATTCCGCTGTGGCGATCCCAGATTAATAAAGGGACTAAGTTGAAGAGAAAAAATGAACGAATGAATGAACGATGCACAATAAAAATAAAAAAAAACACTTGAATATCAGAACAAATGCAAAGAATTTCCTATGTATTTTCTGTTTATGTTTGTAAAACCATTACCAGTATTAAAAGGATTTCAAATATGTTCTCTAATCAAACTTTTTTCAAGCATGAAAGCTATAAAAGTAGGTTATTATTATAAAACCTTCTTTTCTGGGCTAATAATAGTATAATTGTGTTTAACAGAAAATAACACGATTAACATTAGATATTATACAACAATATACACCAAGGATCATATCACAGCATATCAAAAGACTAATGGATGACAGTGGAGCAACAATATATTATGTAATCATCATTTTAAATGGTTTTACTTTGTTGATATTCTTTGAATCACTATAAATTAAATGTATTTGTCAACAAAAATGGTTTTAATCATATAGAATATAATAAATCTGATCATATATATATATATATATATATATATATATATATATATATATATATATATATATATATATATATATATATATATATATAATTTTTTTATAGTACTGGGTAAAGATTGATCATGATTAATCACATCCAAAGTAAAATGTTTGTTTTGTTTCTGTGTGTGTTTCTATTTATTATGTATATGTGATTTATTATTTATACATACACACACACACACACGCGTGCACACACACACACACGGAAACAAAGCTATACAAAGCAATTTTGTTACATAGATATTTAAATGTACATATAAATTTGTATCATATACACATATTTCATATCTAAATATAAACATTTCCTCAAATATATGCATACATACATAATAAATATAACAGTACAAACACTTAAATTATTCATTTATTTTCTTGTCGGCTCAGTCCCTTTATTAATCAGGGGTCGCCACAGTGGAATGAACCGCCAACTTATCCAGCACAGTTTTACAAAGCAGATGCCCTTCCAGCCGCAACCCATCTCTGGGAAACATCCACACACACATCCACACACACATTCACACTCATACACTACGGACAATTTAGCCTACCCAATTCACCTGTACCACATGTCTTTGAACTGTGGGGGAAACCGGAGCACCCGGAGGAAACCCATGCGATCGCAGGGCTCCGGTAAGACAAATTCTACCTAAAACTGATGTTTGTTATATGTTCATGTCAACTAAAAATGTATTTAGATCTCTGTATTAATCTGAAATTGTACAGTATACACATTATTCAACTTGAATTCAGATTTGCTGATGTCAAAAGACAATAACAAGCTAAATTCAGAAACATTTAATAACTTTAAATCTAATTAAATGTGTTGTAATCCAGCTGTTACTGTACAAACAGTAGATGATCCTGCTCTTAAACTGTATAATCTGCATAAACACATTCTGTCTCACTCATACAAATAATCATTCAGTGTCTTTCAGTCTGCTCAGTCATTTCTTTTGATACTGTTATCTGCATTATACTGAAATAACAGTAATGATGAAGATACTAAACTTAAATCCTCATATTCTTGCATCAGGCACGGGAAAAAACCGTCTTGAACTTTCCCTGCAGACTTCCTGATCTGTTCTTCCTCATTTCTGTCTGATTTTCTCAGTTACAATGAATTACACACACGAACTGACAAATTACCCTTTGTTAGGGGAAAAATGTTTAGTGTTATACACATATGAAAAACAGAAGTGACGTCATTTTAAATGAGATTTTAGGGATGCCCAATATCTTAGTATTTGCAATAAGTGTTGGGTAAAAAGTAATATATCACAATCTTGAAAAATAAACTAAATGTGTTACTTAGTTATTTTTTTAGGAAAGTAATGTGAAAGTATGTGTCATGTTATTATTATTTTTTTTTTGCAATTTTTTAAGAATAAAACTGGCTTAAAATTGGAATTAGTATTGTCAAATGATTAATCGCGATTAATCGCACCCAAGATAAAAGTTTGTTTACATAATTTATACACGTGTACTGTGCATATTTATGTATACATGTACAAAGACACACATATACTGTAGATAAAAACAAAACATTACAAAATATATATATATATATATATATATATATATATATTTTTTTTTTTTTTTTAAACACAATTATGTATGTAAAAAAAATTCAAAGGGGGGCTAATAATTCTGACTTCAACTGTATGCATATATATATATATATATATATATATATATATATATATATATATATATATATATAAATAAAAATTTAAAATCAAAAAATCTTTTTTAACGACATGCTAATGCTCAAATCCCTTTCAATTCATCATACTAAGCCAGGCTAAAAGACCGACAGAAAAATAAATCGACTGAATGGATTTAAAAATGATTTAAGCCAATTATTTAACTCTAGCAGACTTGTAAAATCAGCCTTTTTCAAAAAAAAAAAGGTGAACTGTTTCTTTAAGTAAAGATGTATGTATACAAATGGTAAGTAATGTGGATCCCCCCTTAAAAAACTAACAAACTAACAGATATGCAAGACAAAAAAAAAAAAAAAAAAAACTACAGGTAAAAAAAAAAAAAATTACTATATTATATTATTAATAAAATAAATATACGGGGGAAACTGTATTAATAAACAATATAATGTAATGATTGATTATTTTAAATAATCTATCTATCTATCTATCTGTCTGTCTGTCTGTCTGTCTGTCTGTCTGTCTATCTATCTATCTACATATATATATATATATATATATATATATATATATATATATATATATATATATATATATATATATATATATATATATATATATATATATATGTATGTATGTATGTATGTATATACAGTATGTATATATGAATATGCATTTTTTTACGTATTATAAAATAAATACTTAGCCATGTATTTTGGATAAAAAAGTCTGAAAAAAATACATGTAAGATAATGTAAAATAATTTTAAAATAATAAAATAAATTACATTAATTACATGTTGCTTGTATATGTTCATGATTAAACTGATTTATTTATTTTTTAACACATTTTAGTTTTAGCAGTCACAATTGTCGACTTATTAACTCCTTTTTAACATTATTGTCAGCCAGATTCATTTAAAGTATTTAAGCAGAAGCCTTAAGTCACTCTATTTTACAGATTCTTTGGAAGAATATAGAAAATTAGATGAGAAATGGAAAAAAAAAGTCAGATTTCTCAGTGTTATTTATTTATAATGGCACTTGTGCGTTTAGCTATGCTAGTTAATTGACAGTTAAAGTTGTTATAATGTAGATAATGTAACACTGAATGTACTTATAGTAAAATCAACAGTTTAAATTAAGTTGGAGTAACATAGGAAAGTCTGTTTACAAAAAAAATAAATTGAATTGAGTTAATTTCTGCTGAACGTGTTTTGGAAAAAAAACTGCTCGTAAAATAATCTATTCTACATCAATCCCTCAGAATATACTTGATTTATTTTTGGCTAAATGCTGTAGCTACTTTTGGTTTGACTTCAACAGGCGTTGGTGGTTTGGCAGTAGATTGTACTGTCGCCTTCTGTCCGCTAGCCGTCGCTCTAAAGCACCGTTAATAATTGCCAATACCTTTGGTGTTTGTGAGTCTGTCGCCCTCTGTCGGCGAGCGCTCAAAAACGCGTCACTTCAGCGCACATGTTTCTCTCAGCAGGAGAATCACACACACACACACACACACACAAACACACGTCCACTGGAGAAGAACAGACAGCGGATTTACCGGGACACCGTCGGTAAGACGTCCCAGGATATGCGCGTTTCTCCGGGTGACCGATGAAGGAGTGACGCAGCGTCCGGATAATATTTTCAATGTGAAGGAGGAATCAGGTAGGCGAAAATCTGCTGCATATTCTCACACTAAACCATTATTATTATTACTACAGTGATTTTAGTATTACAGTGTTCTTATTATGTGCCAATTGATTGTAGTGATTGTATCAGATATCCTCCTGTTGTTGTTGGCAGTGTGTAAATTAGTGTTTAAACAGATGTTGTTGTTGTTATTTTGCTAATTGACTGTTTATCAGCTGGTGTCTTTGGTTTTTTATTGAATTCATCATACTATAGGGGTAAGTTGGTTTTATGTTAGCACATTCGTTCATTTTAATGGTCTCTTTATTGTTTACCGTGCTGTACTTTGAATATTCTGTCTAAAATCGCATCTAAGTATGACTTTAAAACAACATTAGCACTATTTAATTGAGTGTGAACAATGTATTCTAATAATCATCTGACTGCTAATGTGATTTCTCTATTTAGATTAGCAAAGAATACTTTTCTGATGTTATATTATTTAGGAGAATGAATATGTGTGAATATAAAATCAACTTTTGTACCCATTCATTATTACATTGTACTAATTGTTGGTGAAACTTTAGGGTTTCAATTGTGAAGGTGTATTTTATCTGTCACTTTTGGTCAATCATGGTTTGATACATACATCTTTAGGATCTATTATGCACTCACTCATTTGTTTTACTACAATGGAAGTCAATGGTTACCGGTTTTTAACATTCTTCAGAATATCTTCTTTTGTCATCCCCAAAAAACTAAACAAAAAGACAATCATAAAGGTTTATAACTACTTTTTTTTCTGTTGAACACAAAAGAAGATATTAGCCATTGACTTCCATAGCATTTGTGCTTCCTACAGTGGAAGTCAATGGTTACCGGTTTTCACCTTTCTTCAGAATATCGTCAGCAAAAAAAGAAGAAAAAAAAATAAATATATATATATATATATATATATATATATATATATATATATATATATTTAGAACTATTTTTTTTACTGTTGAACACAAAAATAGATATTAACCATTGACTTCCACAGCATTTTTGTTTCCTGCTATGGAAGTCAATGGTTACTGGTTTTCAACATTCTTCAGAATATCTTTAGGAATCAGCAAAAAAGGCGATCATAAAGATTTATAGCTACTTTTTTGTGTTGAACACAAATGAAGATATTCGAACACTGTCGCCTCACAGCAAGAAGGTCATTGGTTCGAGTCCAGGCTTGGCCAGTTGGTGTTTCTGTGTGGAGTTTGCATGTTCTCCCCATGTTGGCGCGGGTTTCCTCCTGGTGCTCCGGTTTCCCCTACAGTCTAAAGACGTGCTATAGCTGAATTGAATAAACTAAATTGGCCATATGTGTATGTAAATGAGAGTGTATGGGTGTTTCCCAGTACTGAGTTGCGGCTGGAAGAGCATCCGCTGCATAAAACATATGCCGGAATAGTTGGTGGTTCATCCTGCTGTGGTGACCCCTGAAATAGAGACTGAATGAATAGACATTGAAAGGTGTGGAAGTGTGTTTAAAAAAATGAACCAGCTGGTTTTATGTCTACTAATATCAGCGGTTTCGTATGACGATTATATAACGAAGTAGGTTATAAAGTTTGGCAAATATTATCTTTGCATAAAAACCATGAACCTCTGAGTATCCTCATTATGTGTGTGTGTGTGTGTGTGTGTGTGTGTGTGTGTGTGTGTGTGTGTGTGTGTGTGTGTGTATGTGTGTGTGTTTGCACGTGACCTGTGAACTCTATCCACTCCACAGCTGTCATGTAGAGTATACGTTTATTTTTAGCTGGACTGACGCCTGTGTTCTTTCTTGCTTTTCAAGAGTCTTTACAGCTGCTATGAGGGATTTATTGATTGTACGGAAGTCTCAATTTATTAGTTTTGTTTCATCGCAATCGGAAAGATTATGGGCCCTATCATACACCAGGCGCTATGTGGCACAAGGCGCGACATAATAGTTTGCTAGTTTCAGCTTGGCGGAAGAGTCGTTTTGACGTTTTGCCCACGCTGTTTAAATAGCAAATGCATTTGCGCTCATATGTGCGCCCGTAGTTGTTCTGGTCTAAAAGGGAAGCCGTGTTGAGGCGCATTGCTGGCGCGTTGCTATTTTGAGACACTATAATAGATTTTTCAATAGACCAAAACAAAGACGGTCTATTGTCCAGCACAGAGCGCGTTAGTTATACGCCTCGCTTAAACACTGCTTAACACACACAAGATGTAGAGCAATACACAAATATCTTTACATATGAAAAAGAATTAAAATAATATATATATTTATGGGACAAAGGAAAAAGTAACCAACAAAAAGTTGTCAAAACTATGAAAAAGAAGAGAAAAAAACAAAATAAAAAAAATATATATACACAAATGAAACAAACTGCTTTATGCGTAGTCTTTACTGTTAGAATTAAACTTTATTTAATTTCTATTAAAGCTGCAAAAGCTGCTCAGTCAAGAGCTTTAATTGATTTTCTCCTCATCATTTGTTAATTGATTAATAATAATAATAATAATAATAATAATAATAATAATAATTAACACAGTCGGCAGCAGGAATATAGCACACTGTCACTTTAAGAGCCGCACATTCTGAACTCAATGGGCCCAATCATACACCCGGCGCAGTGTGGCGCAAGGCGTGGCGCAATAGTCTTTTTGTAGCTTCAGCTTGGCGCAAGAGTGGTTTTGAGGCGTTGCGCTACACTGTTTAAATAGCAAATGCATTAGCGCTCATATGTGCGCCCATAGGCGTTCTGGTCTAAAACGGTAGGCGTTCTGAGGTGCACTGCAGGCACGTCGCTATTTTGAGAAACTAAAATAGATTTTTCAATAGACCAAAACAAACCCGGTCTAAACTCCGGCGCAGAGTTGCGCCTCGCTTACGCACTGCTTAATACGCCCAAGAGAGCAATAGGCAAATATCTTTACATATGAAAAACTTAAAATATTAAGGATATATTTAGGATATAATAAGAATAGATATAGGATATACATATAAAGGATTAAAATATTACAAACAAATTATTTTCTAGCCTACAGAAATATGAAAAACCACTGCTTTTATGTCTTCTTCATCTCGGGAGGCTTTTTCAGTTCATTCATAACAATTTGCTTTTGTATAATGTTATTATTATTAGCAGTATTATTTATTATATCCATATTTATATTTGTTTTATTAAAAACAAGCTTAGATTTGCCCACCTGTCAGGTTTTAGACCATATGGGGCACAGCATGTGTTTTAGGATATAACTCAGGTTTCTGAACACATTTTGTTATTATTGTTCATTTATTCGTTTGCTGGAAATTAGAACTGAATTTAGAAATAGTTTTGAAATGAATATTTGTGCTTAACAAACAAAAGTATTTATTTATAGACTAATTGATGTCTGTGCGTAAAAGTTTCCCTATCCAAGAGTGAAAGTGAAAGTAGATCCATTATCTCTCATTATCACGCAGTAGATGCTCTGTTTAACAGTTTTCTGTTAAAAACTGTGAACTGTTTGCTTGTGAAATGCTCATTTTTTCCACTTAGACTTACTTTGCGTCCTGTAAATAGCGAATGCACTCTTGGCGTGACGCAGCTGGCTCTTAAAGGTAATGGGAGATGAGACTGTAATTGGTTTATTCTCAAAACACACCTATAACTCATTAAGAAAATAAACTCAACCCTTTTAGACCATGCGCCACGGCGCAAAGCTGATTTTCCCGTCCTTAAATTAGCAAAAATGCGTTCTGACACGCCCTGAAAGCGTTTGCGCCCTGCGTTTTGCGCTCTGCGCATGGACCGTCAAAATAGAGCCCTTTATGTTCATTTATTACTTAACAAAGGAGGCTTTATGTACACGTATACACATTGTTTGCATGTATTTGAGCATTTAGGCTCATGCTCGAGCAAAAAGATGACTTTACATGTGTGTGTTCAGCTCGTATTTAAGCTTATATCTTAGGGAAAGTATGCAATTTTAGATTGACGGCAGGTTTTTTTTCTCTCCAGACACTGAGGTGGAGATTCATTGAAGCAGGATTATAATCCTCCTGACAGACCGTGAGCTTCTTTAACTCTCCAAATCCACTGCTGAGTAATGAGGAACACTGTCTGAGGAGAAATACAACATGCACCGTCATTTGTCAGAGAACTGCAAACCTTTTATTTATTTAGTCATAAGGAGAAGCAGGTTGGCAGCTGTCATTTGGCAGAGAGTGATGGATTGTGGGTAATTTGACTCTGAAATCTTCATCTGTTCACTGGAGTCTCATTTTGGAAGATGTCATCGCTCAAACCGCTTGCCCTCAAGGTGAACAGAAGGAAACACGACACACACACACACACACACACACACACACACACACACACACACACACACACACACACATGCAAACTCCAAATAAAGTGTAAGATTTCATTTTCAGGCGTCACGGTGGCGCAGTGGGTAGCACAGTTGCCTTACAGCAAGAAGGTTGCAGGTTTGATCCCCAGCTGGGCCTGTTGGCATTTCTGTGTGGATTTTGCATGTTCTCCCTGTGTTGGCGTGGGTTTCCTCCAGGTTCCCCACAAGTCCAAAAGACATGTGGTATTGGTGAATTGGGTAAGCTAAATTGTCCATAGTGGATGAGAGTGTATGGGTGTTTCCCAGTAATGGGTTGCAGCTGGAAAGCATCCGCTGCATTGAACATATGCTGGATAAGTTGGCGGTTCATTCCACTGTGGCGACCGCTGATTAATAATGGGACTAAGCCGAGAAGAAAATTAATGAATGATTTCATTTTCTGCTAGTACAATTCTCAATTGATAACAAGCGAATGGCTAGTAAAACACTGAATTACATGTAAAATATTAAACTATTAAGACTATAATTTAATATATAAGAATAGTATTCTATTATAAGCTAAATTCAGTAATCTAAATTAATCAATGTCCTTCTAGAAGCTTTTTGAGTTTCTTCTGTTGAACACAAAAGAAGATATTTTGAAGAATGCTGGGAACCTGTAACCATTGACTTCAATAGTAGGAAAAACAAAT